ATAACGTAATTTAAAGTGGCACAAAAACTTAAGATGTGTACCACATATTTCAAATCAAAATTACTACGAAACCAAGAGAGTCTAAAAGCCAATTTTTTGGTATTATGCTGTAGACATATAACCTCATAAAATAACAAGGTATTAGACAGGTTCCAATTCAAATAATTCAAGTTTTTGTGGCATTTTTTAGAAAAAGCAACAGACCTATTTTTACTAGATCAGTTTTTCATGCTGATAAAGATATTAAAAGATGACAGCTCAACGGGGTGGTCACGACACTAAATTTTGGCATTTTTACCCCCCTAGGAAAATATTCTAGGGGGTACTATGAAACTAGTTCATAACTCAAAGGATATATGAGCTATTGTTCTGAGTTGTACACCATACATTGCTAGTACAAATATGAATACTATCCTAAAGTTATAGGTTGATACCCTTATTGGTCTCAGAAAAATACAAAAAACAGGAAAAAGATACATAATTTTTGTCTTGCCAATTTTATATTTGTAGCTTCAAGCAAAATATGACAGCTTTAACAGCTCAAAGTAGTATTCTAAAAACATTTCTAAGCTATGTGTGGTATTGTAATACATCTATTTTAGTTATGAAGTACTATTTTGTAATTTTAATATGACTTTATAGTGCCCTACCCCTGGAAAATTGAAGAAAGTGGATGTGGTGAATTTTATCATTTTGCAGCATTAAGTTAGAAACATGTATTGATAGACACCAAATCAATAAATTCATACCATCATCAAATGTTAGGTGACATTCTAATTCATTTATTACTAGAATATAGGACTTAAGATATTTTATATGTAAGTTTTCAATTTAGTACATGTATCATAATGAAATCTAGTGTAATCACATACTAGAGAGGTTGGCATACAGTCTGGACATTGACATAAAGTCTAAACATTATAATCATCAATTGATCTCATTTGAGCAACTAGACTATGGTGGTCATCATGCACAAGTAATGTACAGTAGAACCTGCTAAGTGGAACAGCTCTGTAAGTGGAACACCTCCCAAGTGGAATGCCTTTTAAAAGTCCCTTTTTAAAAACCCATTGACTTAATGTTAATTGAACCTCTGTAAGTGGAACACCTCCAAACATGAACAGTGAACACCCCATATTGAAAAATTAACCTGCTAAGTGGAACAGTCAATTTCCATAGATTTCAATATTGATATATGTAAACAGAATTAATCTCCTTCAATGATATCTGGGTATGAAAACAGGTAATACTGTGATAATTGGCAAATTAGGACTTTAATGGTTTTTAATGGATTAACCTCCTGTAGAGGTCAACATGTGATGCAACCAATAATTAATTTGATAAACAGCAAATTAGGATTTCATAAGATTATCATTCAGAAAATTGGATTAACCTCCTGTAGAACTGGACACGTGATGCTACCACTAATTAATATCCCTTGCTGTTTGTTTCAAACTTAATAAGTAAGATTAAAAATGTCATTTAAAAACAATTGAATTATTAGCAGTAGGAACAAGTCTTTAAAACTTAATTGCCTAATCTTTGTACCCGAGACTGGCACAATTAGGAGGATTAAGAATGTCAGAAAACATTTTTGGCAGAATGAGGAGGATTAAGAATGTCAGATACCTTTTTGAGTGAAATAAATGGATTATTAATGGTATATACCTGCCCTGTAATGAAGGGAGAATCATATTTCCAATGATACATATAAATCCTATATTTGATCTTGTATGTTCTCTGCGAACCCAAAACCTCCATAAGTGGAACACCTTCTGAGTGGAACGCTTTGTGGCAGAACGGAGAGTGTTCCACTTACACAGGTTCTACTGTATTTACATAATAATGTTATAAAGGAGCATGTAGGTTATCGCAAACAACTTCAGACAATTCTAACTTGAATTATGAATATTTTCTGACCATGAACATGGGTATATCTTTTAGATCTATTCATTATCTTCAAGAAAAGTGAATATAATGATTGAAACCAGACCTAAGTGATATTAAAGGGAATGGCCCAATCAACATACTTTTTCTAAAAATGTTGACCTAATTTTTACCAAAGATGCAACCTTTAATTATATTGTTGAATGCATAATTAGAATATGCTTTGAGACATGTTCTATTTCCTAAGAGGAAAAGTGGATTGCTCCACGGACTTTAAAGACACCGAATTGTTAACATTGTTAAAATGATGGCATTTTTGGTGAAAATGAGGTCAATAACTTTGAAAAAATATATTGATGGGTTGATTGCTAGTGAAATATCTCTGAGTCCGATTGACTTTATTATCACTGTATACCTGTCTTCATGGTCAGAAAATAGTCATAATCAAAGATATAACTGTCTGAAATTGTTTGTGATTACTTACCTGAACCTTTCCAGGTCAAATCAGGAGTGACAAAATTATTTCCACCAAATTTTTGACATGTCTTCAAATACGATAATATTTTCTTCATAAGATAGAGTGTCACTTGTGAAATTTATTGATTGACCTGAGATCGTACCACATCTTTATGACATAGAAGCGAAATAACCATATTGAACTTTAATGATGTTTGTTTAAGGTCTCATGGAAGTTAACAGGAAATGACAAAACAAAAAATGACAAAGCCATGCTGGATTTTGAAAATTTTTTGAACCAAGATAACAGAGTTCTGTTTGGACCTCAAGTCAGTTTAACTAGTTCCAAATATCATTTACATGACCAGGAACACAATTGAAATGGTCAGCATGACCATAAACATGATAAAATAACCTTTTTAGCCCTCTGAAAATGTGACTGAAAAATAGCTAAAAGTAGGTGCTCAGGAAAGGTCAATGAACAGAATCTTTTGATTTTTTCAGAATATGTGTCCAATATATTGCTCTAAATGACACAATCTTTGAAATTTTAAAAAATCGTCTGAAACAATAATGGCTGTAGTAAAAAGGAAAATAGATCGATTTTCAATTCAGTTTTTTTCAATTTTTTCTTTTTCTAAGAATGATATCAAATTTTTTTGAATTGTATCATTTAGAGCAATATATTGGGCACATTTTCTGAAAAAGTCAAAATATTCTGTTCAGTGACCTTTCCTGAGCACCTACTCTTAGCTATTTTTCAGTCACATTTTCAGAGGGCTGAAAAGGTTATTCTATCATGTTTATGGTCATTCTGACCATTTCAACTGTGTTCCTGGTCATGTAAATGATATTTGGAACTAGTTAAACTGACTGGAGGTCCAAACAGAACTCTGTTATCTTGGTTCAAAAATTTTTCAAAATCCAGCATGGCTTTGTCATTTTTTGTTTTGTCACTTCCTGTTAACTTCCATGAGACCTTAATTGTTGTTTGCCACTTTTCGAGAATTGTCAAAATTTGGGGGTTTTGAGGGAGGGTTACAATTAGGTTAAAAAATTCACCTGATTCAGACTATCCTTAAATGAGCACTGATTCACCCGAGAGCATAACTTTTTCAAAACATGTGTTTTTTTTGGACCACTCACATTAATGTTTCGTCTAATTTTCCCTCAGAGTTTCATCATCATTGTCCAAATCTTAGGCCATATTTGTTGAGATATATGAATGTTCATTATTAAAATCTTGCCTTCCTTTGCAGTTGGAAAAGATTCGGCATTAGGTGTTATAAGTCCCAGAGCACGATAAATAAATAAAAATAACAACAAAATGACATAGAACTGATAGACGTTTTCTCTTGTGCGTGTCAGCCATGGTCTACCAAATTGCTATTCAGTAGGAAGAAACTCATTTTTCAGTTTCCATTTTAATTTCCTGACAAACAGAGCGATCATCTCAGGATTTTTTCTATGATCTATGTGTCGCCCTAGCAACTTCTGTTTTAGAGAACAATAGAAAAGATTACTTTACCATAATTTTAATCATTCCACATTGTAGACATATTTATAATTAAAAATATGAAGAGAATGACAAAATCTCTTAAAACACATTTCTTAGGAAACAAATAGTGTCGTATTCTTGTTACTATGGCAACAGAGTTTTTTCTTTTTGTCATTTTTGTCATACAGATTACCTATCATACCAGGACCAAATCCTGAAAATTTGAATTCAGTATCTTCATTAGTATCTTAGATATATAGGTTTCTTATAGTATCCCCTGCAGATTTTATCGGAGTATAAGGAAAATGCTCTGAAGAGGGTTGCCCAAGGATGCCACTTAACAGTATTTTTGAGGTCCCAACCCTCTATTCATGGGAATAGTTAACCATTGTAAAGCTTCTCATGGTTAACTGACAGAATTGATTGTATCTTCAACTAAGAAGACAATAAAATGTTATAAAACCAGAAGAAAACCAAACCAACTTTCTTCTATTTACCAGGGGTAGGGCACTATAAAGTCATATTAAAATTACAAAATAGTACTTCATCACTATAATAGATGTATTACAATATCACACATAGCTTAGGAATGTTGTTAGAATACTACTTTGAGCTGTTTAAGTTATCATATTTTGCTTGAAGCTACAAATATAAAATAAGCAAGAAAAAATGACAAAAATTGAACATTTTTTTCTAATTAATTGTACTTTTCTGAAACCAACAAAGATATCAACCTATAACTTTAGGGTAGTATTCATCTCTGTACTAACAATGTATGCTGTAGAACTCAGAACAATAGTTTATATATCCTTTGAGTTATGAACTAGTTTCATAGTACCCCCTAGAATATTTTCCTAGGGGGGTAAAAACGCTCAAATTCAGTGTCGTGACCACCACGTTGAGCTGTCATCTTTTAATATCTTTATCAGCATGAAAAACTGATCCAGAAGAAATAGGTCTGTTGCTTTTTCTAAAAAATGCCTCAAAAACCCTTTCCCTTGAGATATTATGAAATTGGAACCTGTCTATATGACGTGAAACGGAGAAACTTTATTTTTATCATTTTCCGAAAACCGATTGGGGCATTACTATCTGGAATGACTGTTAACAGAATGTAGGCCTAAGACTTAGTAAGAGTAAGAGAGACTACCATAGATCTAATACTTACAGGTTCAAAGGCCTCCATGACTGTGGCACATCACATGACGAAAAATTCCCACCTGATTAAATCCTTGCTACAGGCATAAAGCTACTATTATGTACATACCATTTCTGTTTTAGAAAGGTTTCTTCAGTTATGATATATATCATATACACACAATACAGTGAGATGTTACAAAGTATCACAGCCGGAAGTGATTCTGTGCTCCTATGGCGCATGAATCTGAGACCCATCTACTGAGCAAGGGAGTCTAAGATTGAGACCAACAAATGAAGCACATAAGTTGGTTTTGATCGTGAACTTGAAATAATAACGGTTTACGCAAATAAATAAATCATATGAATCCTGCAATTCTGGTCAACAGTAGTCCTGCATTCGTGAACTTTATTTTTCATTTGATGTTGTTCGGCTTCAACTTGAACCCGGAAGTATGTAAAAATTATTGTTCAAGAATAAGCTTAGCCGAGGAAGAAGTTATGAAGTTATAGGACGCCCGTAGTATTATAACAAGCAAAGTCATCTGATTATGGCAGTTGCCACTGACAAAACTAGAAATTGTCTTAGATCTATCAGATCTGGATCAATCATCTTTTAGTGTAAGTAAATGTGTAAAAAAGTGTAGACTTTGTCATAATTTTTCTGCTCTGTTTACTTCAGATTTTGAATCTAAAATAAGCAAAGGACCGCACATTGCATTAGATTAGCATAGATGCGAGTAAAAAATCTTGATTTATGTCATTAATATTCAAAATTCAGTCAAACAAATAGGTGTCATTTGTCGATTGTCATTTTTTTTAAAACGGTCTCCCGCATATTTGTTGGTCTCCAGTGGAGACTGCCCAGTGAGTATTGAATCCCGTACCGACAGTTGTCGAAAATTGTTGAGAGTTGAGATCGCTCCTCCCATTGGCGAAAGTGACCACAATGTGGTCTTTGTTGATGTCAACCTAAAAGCTACAAGATCTAAAGCTGCTCCTAGGAAAACACTTCGTTACAATAAAGCCAACTGGGAAAAGATCGTGGCTGATGTCAACTCAACCTACCAAACAATGAACGCTTTCCCTAGAACAACACCTGTAGAAGACCTTTGGGTTCTGTTCAGAGATAGCTTGTGTAATGCCATCAACACACACATCCCCCACAAATGGCTTAACAGTAAGAACAAGTTGCCTTGGGTCTCCGACAACATCAGAAGACTCATGAAGAGACGTGACAGATACTTTCACAAGCGGTTTAAGTCCACGTCAAACTTAAGTCACTATAAGTCCCTTAAAGCCGCTGTCCAGAAGCAAACAAGAGCAGCCTACTGGACCTACATCGAGAATGTCATCTCTGAGCCATCACCTGAATCAACATCTCCAGGTGCTCGAATGACTAAACCTAAGAGGCTATTCTCGTACATCAAAAGTCTGAGGAAAACAGCTGACTCTGTGGCTCCTTTAAAAAAGGATGGAGTATTGACATGCGATAACATCGGCAAGGCCAATATACTCAATGAGCAGTTTCAGTCTGTTTTCTCCAAGGACCCTAACACCCCCTTGCCAGACAAAGGACATAGCCCTCACCCAACCATGCCGGACATCAACATCACCCAAGAAGGAGTCCGGAAGATGCTTGAAGGCCTGAACCCCAACAAGGCTAGTGGCCCAGACTCAATACCATCTCGAGTCTTGAAGGAGCTGGCATCTGACATCGCCATGCCGCTCACACTAATCTTCCAGCGTTCACTAGATCAAGGCAAAATACCAGCTGACTGGAAGAAAGCCACAATATGCCCCGTCTACAAGAAGGGTGAACGATACAAGGCCTCCAACTACAGACCAGTGTCCCTTACCTGCATATGTTGCAAGCTTGCTGAACATCTTCTAGTTAGCAACATGATGCAGTTTCTTGAGACCAATGGGATCCTGTATGACTTGCAACATGGTTTCAGGAGTAAGAGGTCATGTGAAACACAACTTGTCACCTTTTTCCATGACCTTGTACTGGCGAATGACACTAATCACCAGACTGATGTCATAGTGATGGACTTTGCAAAGGCATTTACAAACTCCAATACTACGGTATCAGAGGTCAGGCCAACTACTGGATCAAAGACTTCCTGCAAGCAAGAACCCAAAGAGTTATTGTAGATGGAGTGACATCGGATGAGGCAGCTGTAACATCAGGAGTCCCCCAGGGGACTGTCCTCGGTCCGATCCTCTTCCTCATTTACATTAACGACTTACCTGATGTCCTGCAACATAGTACCTTGAGGCTTTTTGCAGATGACAGCATCATTTACAGACAAGTTGATTCACCACTCGATGCAGCATTACTACAAGAAGACCTTAATGCTGCAGTAGCCTGGGAAAATCAATGGCTGATGCAATTCCACCCAGACAAGTGCACTGTGCTGTCGGCAACTGGAAGACGAACACCTGCTGTCTCCATCTACAACATGCAGGGACATGCCCTTAAACAGGTATCGTCTGCAGAATATCTTGGTGTTACAGTGCAGGCAGACCTTAAGTGGAACCAGCATATTGCTAAATCCATAACCAAGAGTAACCAGCTCCTTGGCATGCTGAGACGTCATTTATGGAAAGCTCCTCAACATACTAAGCAGACTGCATATTTCACCCTGATCAGACCAAGGCTTGAATATGCAGGCTGTGTCTGGGACCCTTACACATCAACCCAAAAACAAGCTCTGGAGATGACCCAGCGAAGAGCAGCACGGTATGTCATGAATGACTTCAACCGTGTTAGCTCTGTCGGTGCTATGCTGTCCAAGCTACAATGGGAGTCTCTGGAGCAGAGACGACAACAACAACGACTCACCATGCTCTATAAAATCAACAATAGCCTAGTTGGAATTCCCAAGGACCAATATCTTGAACCCCCCTCCCACAATAGACCCAGACGATTACAAGTAACTAACAGCCAAGCCTTTGTCCGCCACAGATACAACAAAGATGTCACCTTGCAGTCTTTCTTCCCAAATACAATCAGGGAATGGAACTCACTTCCAGAATCAATAGTGACAGCGGGAACATTAGAAGGCTTTAAAACCACGCTGGGTTCTTACTACCAAAACCCCATTCCTTAACTCTTACTGTTGTGTAACTGTTTTTAAACCGATTTTAACTTTACCTTTTACTCTAACACTGTTTTTATCTTTTACTATGCATACTAACCCGCGATGTAGTAATCAGTAAATGATTGAATCGTGTACTATGATGATGATGAAAAGAGATCCAGTCGTCCAGATTCCTATTATTGGCTCCTCTGAACCAAAACAATCTGTTCAAACTGAAGAAAAACGCCAATCAGACTGGAACAAATTTGAGCAGGCTTTTTAAATTTATTTTCAATTTCTACTGATGTAGGGTTTGTAGAAAAAAACGGGTACCGGGTAGTAAATCGTCCATGCTGGGTTCAAATTTGGTACCCGGTCAAAAAAACCGGTTACCCAAAAAACAAAAAATACGAATATACAACATAATTAGATCATTAGAAAACGTGTAAGATTTGTTTAAATGTCGAATTTGGTATTCTTTGTATTTCTATTTCATTTGTAAAAACGGCTTACGGCAAATCACTTGTATCCTTGTGTAGTGAAAATGTATATTGAGAAAAAAAAGAAAAAAAAAAAAAAAAAAAAGATTTGTTTAAATATACGAAATTGTATGTAACTTCCCTCAAAATTGAGCTAGAAGCTTCAAATAAAAAGCATTTTAAGGCTCTTTTCTTCCTCTATCATCATGGTCATATTTTCATCGGTTATTAGGCCTGTCAACTGTCCCTCAATTTGCGTATTTGTCACGCATTTGCTGAAGAATTTGAAGTCATGCCAGTTTTTTTTTGCGTGACAGAAAATGTCACACAAATACGCATTTTACCTGGTAATTGTCAAGCAAAAATATTTCTGTTGAAAAAATTCTAAAACAGTTCGCCGATACAGCAAAAATACGAACACCAAAAAAACGTACGCATTCTGTTCGGACTTTTCACTTGAATCACGTATATGTCGCGCATTCTGTTCGAAATTTTTCGTACCTACCTCTATTTTCAATAGTTCATATGTTGGTACGTGAATAGTTTTGATTATGATTTAAATCTGTAAATAGCTATCGTTACTTTAGCAGAGACGTGGGTTTATTTACATGATGCAACGTGTAAGATTTTGATTTTTAATCATAATTAAAGTTATCCCATTTTTCGACGAAACGTCCACTGAAGTGTAAATTGTTACGTCTTACAATGTCATAGGCGATCTCACCCCCCTCCATAACCAAAGAAAATATGAAAATGATGATAGAGGAAGAAAAGAACCTTAAAATGTTTTTTATTTGAAGCTTCTAGCTCAATTTTGAAGGAAGTTACATACATTTTTGTATATTCAAAACAAATCTTACACGTTTTCTAATGATCTTATTATGTTATATACTCGTATTTTTCGTTTTTTGGGTACCGGGTACCAAGTTTGAACCCAGCATGGAGGATTTACTACCCGGTACCCGGTACCCGTTTTTTTCTACAAACCCTACTGATGTAAGTGGAAATTCATGGCTAAGAGCAATCATCAAATAAATACTGTTAACAAATTAATTCAAGCCTCAGAATTGGTAAGTTGAAAAACAAACTTGTTTTACATCAAATGACACGAAAAAATCAGGGGGTTACTTTAATTGTGTTTTTAGGAGACTCAATCTCTTTAAACAATTGTTTTAGGATTTTTCAAAAAGTAGACCCAGTTCTAGAGATTTTTTCATGAAAATGGGACCGATATCTAGGTTTTTTTCTTCAAATTAATGGGACCAACATCTAGGGATTTTTCGGCCAAAAAGTGACCTACTTTAGCGGCACGTCCCCATATAGCCAATATATGGGAGTACACCCCCCAAGGGTTAGCATCCCTGGCTGCTGTGCTCATGGTACAGAGTTAGAATCCCGCTTTGATGCAATTTTTTTTCTGTGTCTAGATAATACATTTTGCTTCTTTTGCTGACCCAGTTTTGAAACGTTTGTTTTATAATTGCATAAAACACTTGAATAAAATAAACAAAACACAATTAGAAATAATGTATACCAGTAGATTTTATTCTTAATTTGTTCCATTAATTTATCCACATTACTATGGAAAATACACATTTTCAAATTCGCAATTTTACATTCAGGCAAATAAAGGCAAAATCACTGTATGCTTGCAAATTTTGCATGTTTTACAGTATTTAGCAGACCCACAGACTTTTGGTTGGTTCTCTATTAGATCCTATTACATACCTGCCAACCTAAGACCAAAAATTTGCGGTAGTTTTTTTTTCGAATTGTGGTATTTTTGCGGTAGATTTTTTCCAAATGAGGTAGTTTTTGCAGTATTTTTCGACAAAAATGCGGTAGTTTTACGGTAGATTTTGAAAAAAATCGGTAGTTTTTGATGGACTTCTACCTACTCATCAACTATGCTTGGTCTGATTTTAATTATTCCATCATTTAAAGTTCGGAGAGATATAGGGAATGCCTCCCTCCGTCAGCCATCCAGGCGATAACTCAAATACCATAAGCCCGATTTGTTTATATTTTGTACACGTGTGCTCTATGGAGGTAGAAGTTCTGCTCGAAAGCCAATTTTATGGCCACTCGTTTAAAAGTGGCTGCAATTTTAGTGGTCGTGTATATAAAACTGTTATAGCAATAAAAAGCTATATATTTAATAAGCTAAACATGTAGATATTTAAGAAATACATGGCAGCCATCTTAAAAGATGGTGGCCTACACACTATTTTACGACTTAAAGCTATTGAGAAGTAGTAGAGCGATTTTGTTCTTTTTTAATATGTGAATACTAAATAAGCATGACACACTGCCTTATAACATTTTGACTAGTAGGTGGCCATTTTTAAAAGTGGCTGCCATATGTGTGAGCGTTTTTGTTGAAATTTTATTTGTGCTTCTTAAAAGCATATTACACTCTCTGATGACTTTCTAGTATACCATTGTGAAAATGGTGGCCATTTTTATATATAAAAGCAAAAGATATATAATATATATTTCATTTTGTAGATATCATTCTTCTGCTTTGAAAATGATATTTCAATGAATTTTTGATAATTGTTCTTGTTTTTAGACATTAATAAAGCTTAATTAATTTAGATTTTTATGCATATGAGCTCCAGGTTCGTTCAAGCCCATATACATGTAGTCAAGAACGGGTGTCTACAAAACAAAGACCTAAGACCTACAAAACTAAGACCCCCCACGTTATAAAACTAAGACCCTGTTATAAAACTAAGACCCCCCACGTTATAAAACTAAGACCCCCACGTTATAAAACTAAGACCCCCCACGTTATAAAACTAAGACCCTGTTATAAAACTAAGACCCCCCACGTTATAAAACTAAGACCCTGTTATAAAACTAAGACCCCCCACGTAATAAAACTAAGACCCTGTTATAAAACTAAGACCCCCCACGTAATAAAACTAAGACCCTGTTATAAAACTAAGACCCCCCATATTATAAAACTAAGACCCTGTTATAAAACTAAGACCCCCCACGTAATAAAACTAAGACCCTGTTATAAAACTAAGACCCCCCACGTAATAAAACTAAGACCCTGTTATAAAACTAAGACCCCCCACGTTATAAAACTAAGACTCTGTTATAAAACTAAGACCCCCCACGTAATAAAACTAAGACCCTGTTATAAAACTAAGACCCCCCACGTTATAAAACTAAGACCCTGTTATAAAACTAAGACCCCCCACGTAATAAAACTAAGACCCTGTTATAAAACTGAGACCCTCCACGTAATAAAACTAAGACCCTGTTATAAAACTAAGACCCCCCACGTTATAAAACTAAGACCCTGTTATAAAACTAAGACCCCCCACATTATAAAACTAAGACCCTTTTATAAGAATCAGTCACCGTGCCTTGCTCTGCTCGCCACAAGGTAGTCTTGCCTCTGGGCCTTGTGTTCCCCAGTAACAGATTCTACAAAAGATAGTCTTGCTTCTGGTCCTTGTGTTCCCTTCTAATATACAGATTCTCCCCACTAACATAAAGATTCTACAAAAGGTAGTCTTGCTTCTGGTCCTTGTGTTCCCTTCTAATATACAGATTCTCCCCACTTACATTAAGATTCTACAAAAGGTAGTCTTGCTTCTGGTCCTTGTGTTCCCTTCTCACATACAGAATCTACACATGGTAGTCTTGCCTCTGGCCCTTGTTTACCCTAGTAACATACACATATGGTAGTCTTGCCACTGACCCTTGTTTTCCCTAGTAACATACACATATACATAAGGTAGTCTTGCCTCTGACCCTTGTTTTCCCTAGTAACATACACATATACATAATTTTAAGGTAGTCTCGGCTCTATCCCTCGAGTTCCCCAGTAACATACTGATGGATGGTACTGTCTCTGATAACGGACATAATAACTGAAGTAAACTATAAAACTGAGAGTAACATGTGGCTGTATTTCTAGTACTGTTGAACTCTGGGTAACAAGTATGGCTTGCCAATACAATATATCATAACACAATTAATAGCACAATCAATGTATGAATGTGATGATACAACACATACAGGTCTATAAGACCCTGTTATAAAGTTATCAGTAGGATCATCTGATTGTGTTCTCACATCAGTGTCAAAATCCTGCAATCATCAGGTGATGAATTAGATCTGATGTTGATGGGAGAGGGGGGGGGGCTTAGGGGCTATTCACCTCTACTTTATGCTGTGTTTAAAAGAGTGACATCCCTCGTAAACTGGGCTGACATGTAACAGCCATACTCCTTTGATTGCTTAAATGAAATATTGGAGAGGAGACTACTCAGGATTTCATGGTTGAGGATTGTTTCTAAGATGTTTTTAAACATCATGGAGTCGAAGTCTTACCCTATTTCCATGGTAACCATGGTTGATTTGAATAAAAATTATTGTAGGTTTTGTCACCAGTATTAGAAAACCTTCTTGGGCAAATAAATGTACACATCGTTATCTTTTAGGTATCTATTAGGATTAGAGTGCAAGACTTAGATAACTGCAATCATATTCTGTTTCAGTGGCAACAATGCTTAATATAGTCAAGGATATTAACCCTGTATCATTCCCGTAATTGAACAAAATAGATAGGCATAAAACCTAAAATTCTGCACTAAGCATTTTTACAATTTTTCAAACAAATAATCCATCAAAAGACACTTTTTGCATTTTAAAAAAAAGTTTCAAACAGGGTCTTAGTTTTATTACGTGGGGGGTCTTAGTTTTATAACAGGGTCTTAGTTTTATTACGTGGGGGGTCTTAGTTTTATAACAGGGTCTTAGTTTTATAACGTGGGGGGTCTTAGTTTTATAATAGGGTCTTAGTTTTATAACGTGTGGGGTCTTAGTTTTATAACAGGGTCTTAGTTTTATAACGTGGGGGGTCTTAGTTTTATTACGTGGGGGGTCTTAGTTTTATAACAGGGTCTTAGTTTTATAACGTGGGGGTCTTAATTTTATAACAGGGTCTTAGTTTTATTACGTGGGGGGTCTTAGTTTTATAACAGGGTCTTAGTTTTATAACGTGGGGGGTCTTAGTTTTATTACGTGGGGGGTCTTAGTTTTATAACAGGGTCTTAGTTTTATAACGTGGGGGTCTTAATTTTATAACAGGGTCTTAGTTTTATTACGTGGGGGTCTTAGTTTTATAACAGGGTCTTAGTTTTATAACGTGGGGGGTCTTAGTTTTTTAACAGGGTCTTAGTTTTATTACGTGGGGGGTCTTAGTTTTATAACAGGGTCTTAGTTTTATAACGTGGGGGGTCTTAGTTTTATAACAGGGTCTTAGTTTTATAACGTGGGGGTCTTAGTTTTATAACAGGGTCTTAGTTTTATAACGTGGGGGGTCTTAGTTTTGTAACAGGGTCTTAGTTTTATTACGTCGGGGGTCTTAGTTTTATAACAGGGTCTTAGTTTTATAACGTGGGGGGTCTTAGTTTTATAACAGGGTCTTAGTTTTATAACGTGGGGGGTCTTAGTTTTATAACAGGGTCTTAGTTTTATAACGTGGGGGGTCTTAGTTTTATAACAGGGTCTTAGTTTTATTACATGGGGGTCTTAGTTTTATAACAGGGTCTTAGTTTTATTACGTGGGGGGTCTTAGTTTTATAACAGGGTCTTAGTTTTATAACGTGGGGGGTCTTAGTTTTGTAACAGGGTCTTAGTTTTATTACGTGGGGGGTCTTAGTTTTATAACAGGGTCTTAGTTTTATAATGTGGGGGGTCTTAGTTTTATAACAGGGTCTTAGTTTTATAACGTGGGGGGTCTTAGTTTTGTAGGTCTTAGGTCTTTGTTTTGTAGACACCCAGTCAAGAACTCAAAAATTTAATAATTTACATATGTACATATGTTGCAAATCAATTTTCTGCTTCTTTATATGCAACTTGTGCATATGGCTTTTTCTATCTTCTTAAATTAAAACAAAATGTTGAGATTTACAAATTTTCGATGTATTCATACATCTACGTTCTTAAACAAAATGTTTGAGACTTTTCAATGTATTCATACATCAGATAAACTGTTTTTCGAAAAAAAAGTTGAATAACAGTACCTGATGAAGATTTATGAACACATTGAAAATTAGTAAAATTTGAAAATTTTATTTTGCTTTTAACATAATACCTCCTTAAAGTAAAATTTTTGGCCACTTAAGCCATTTTCTGATTGTTGAATTTACAGATTGAATTCACCAGAGATGATTTCCAGTTGACTGAAACTGACATGATGAGATCAACAATCCTTTGTTATTTACTTCTTATCTTACCATGTGTATCGTGTGAGACTACTAAACCACCAGCAACTTGGAGACGTGAGCCAGAGGACACTGTGGCAAATGTTGGAGATGCAATAACACTCTACTGTGAGATGGATAACTTACCTGAAGAACACCAAGTGAGATGGAGCCGAGGAAGAGAGGGTGTAGATGAAGTAGTACTCAGCCACAATAATCAAATAAATTCAGTATTTGCTGATATCTATGAAATCACTGGAAGATATAACCTCCGCATTAAAAGAGTCCAGGATAACAGGGACTTTACATATTTCACCTGTAGGGAATTGCTGGGTGCACTCGTACCAAGCAAAGTATCTGTCATCAAGACTGGTAAGTTATATAACTAGATTGGTGAAATTGAACAAGTTCTCTGTCATAAAAGCTGGTAAGCCATATAATTACAAATTGTAATGTAATTTACAATACGGTAAACATATTTTTAATAGTATTATCATGAGATACCACCTTTCTATGCACTTTGTGGGACAGCTAGTCACACTATTAGGCAAAGCATCTGTCATCAAAGCTGGTAAGTTATGCAATTTGATATGACTTGTTAGATGTAAGTACATCAAGAAAGTCTACATGGACATCATCTCAATGTAAATCTTAACTGTGGGATGGGGATAATATTTTGAGCCACCGAAGAATTGTAAAGTATCGGATTTACAGGGTGTTTCAAAAAATGACTGCATACAATAATACTTCAAATATAACTTGTCTATAATTAATGTAAATATTATTCAAGTTCCCTGCAGGGCTTGCATTAAAAAAGATTTGTGAGTCCCAAGGAAGCATTTTTTAAAAGCATTTTTCACTGAAACGCTATCTTTAGGTTAATTTTGTCAGCTGATTTTCTTGTAACAAGACAATAATAGGTCAGTAAAACAGCATTCCAATGTTAAGTTACGAACTGACACTTACATATATTATTGTTGTACAATGTTTTAAGAGATAAAACTTAAGAGTTCAAGCTGACTCTCTCAACCTTCAGAGTTCAAGCTGACTCTCTCAAACTTGAGTCCAAGCTGACCCTCACAATGTTTTTTAGTGTTCAAACTTAATATCAAACTGATACAATTGTTAAAACCAGTACTGTAGTTTTGACCTAAAAAGTTTCTGTGTCCTAAAAACAAAAATATTTTCAATTTTTGTGTCCTCTAAATTTTTTGTGTCCTGAACATGTATTGGACAGAAATAATGCGAGCCCTGAATTCCAATATTTAAATGATATGTGACAAATATGTAAAATAATCAGATATTTTGTCTATGCATGGTTATTTTCTAAGTTGATAAACAATAAGTGCATTATTGATCTATGAGTCAAGTATAATCAGTTAAAATATACCTATTTAGACTCACTTTCCATGGGATATATGAGTGATATATAAATCCATCCCTGACGACTGAAATGAACATACTTTGTAAGCTATTGTTATTATTTCTAGTTGCCCCAAGCCAGCCTTTGATATCAGGGGCCGATAGTGTCATAGAAGGAAGTGATGCCGTACTAACCTGTTCAAGCTCTGGTGGAGTAGAAGCACCAGATACAAAATGGTATAGGGATCGGGATGAAAACCCAATAACAGGTTTTGTACATCTTTCATTGACCTTTCAACATATATAGGATGAAATATAAAGAATCTGAATGACATTCTAATTGACCAAGTTACAAACACCTTTACTCTAACCAAACGGGAAAATATGCTGAGTACAAATATTTCGATTCTAATTCAAATTATCATTTCAACATCAATTTAATTCATTGATATGATTGATGGTATGTTTTTCTCATAATTGAATACCATCATATTACAAATGCTTTCATTGGTATAATAAGTATCAAAAACATCTTTAAACATAGACTGTGGTGCCAGTACAAATCTTAATGATGGATAATTGAATATTTTACACTGTGTCAAAATGTGATTTTATTGCTGAAAATATTCAAACTTGAAAAGCTTTCTTTGAAGAAAACACACATTCAATAGTATTCAAAAGCTTTGCAATATCAGTTTTAATATACTACTAAGGTTTAAAACATGATTGCCAGAATTCACCATTTTGGCATTCAGTGTATTGCCCAAGGCTACTGTTTCTCTGAGTTCATTGCCAAGAGTGAAAACTGGTTGCCATTTGCAGCTAGGCATCTGTAAGTTTCGAACTTTGTCAAGATCTAGAATTCTACAATCTAAACCAAACCATGGAATTTGGGAATAGTGTTAGCAATTTAAGTTATGATGTATAAACCCTTTAGCATATAATGTGTCATAGATTAAAGTTGTTTGTGACATCCTATTGGAGCGGCTACCATCCTATGCGAGTTTGAATTCAATGCGTGTGTAAACAGGTAAAATTCAATGTTAATTTCAGATTTGAGACAGTATATTGCAGATTAATTTTAGCATCATGATCGAATATTTGAAATCATTATATCACTATCTTAAGCTAGCAACTGTATGATTGGTCAAAAACCGGGTTACATGTCATGGGCTATCTGGCAATATTCAATGGCCATGCTAATCAGTTAAGACAACTGTGAGGTATCTAGCGATATCCCACGCTACTAGGGATTTTCAAAGAATTTATTTCGTTCAGTGCAAATGAAAATGGCAGATGAGAAAAGATTTAAACTCATTTCTGATGAAGAAAGGTTGAACTAATTAATAATGTACTCACAAGTAACTCAAAAATCAGCCAAACGTTCGATTAATGTTTGTTGATTGGAGGGAGGAAACTTGGAACAATATAGACTTGCAAATTGTGCAGAAAACAGTACAAGTACAATAATTAGTACAGTTCAGATATTTTTCACACCACCTCCATTCATTCAGACATTTGCAACAGTCATACTTTTAAGTTCAGGTACATAATAAAACATATTTTTTTCAAATTGCGCCTCATACAAATTGGGGTTCACTTCGTCGAACTCTTTTATAAAAATATAGTACTTAATTGCAAGGATAAGTCTATTTGGTAGGATATTTTTTTCTTATTAGCTTGCCTTCCAAAAACCATGTCATGGGCGTTAAAATCGAAATCAACTTTAAATAAATGCTTTAAATTCCCTTTGATTGCTTTCAGAAATATTTGAATCCTTTTGCACTCCCAGAATTTGTGTTTTAACGTATCTCGAAAATCACAATAGTTACATTTAGAGTCATTTTTAATGCCTATCTGCGCTAAAAAGACATTTGTAGTACAGATACCATGAAGTATTTTAAACTGAAGTTATCGCGTTTTATTCTGTTTCGTACACATATAAGGCATTTTAAAATAATCGGTTCTCTCTAATTCGCGATCATGTTTGTCTTTATATAACGGTTCAAATAAATAAATATAAACATCATGAAATTTTCTGATATGGGATCTGATATAGGATTTTGGCTGATGCAGGATCTGATACTGTATTTTTTGAATGTCAGTTTTATTCCCAGCTTATTTCCCAGGGAAAACTTGTTATTAGGGAATAAATAGAGGTTTTTAGCTCACATGGTGAGCTTTTGCAATCGCTCACTTGTCCGTCTGTCTGTCCGTCCGTCCGTCGGTCCGTCTGTCTGTCTGTCTGTCTGTCTGTCTGTCTGTCTGTCTGTCTGTCTGTCTGTCTGTCTGTCTGTCTGTCTGTCTGTCTGTCTGTCTGTCTGTCTGTCTGTCTGTCCGTCAAAAATAGTGGCACGTTTTAAAACCTCTGTCGATAGGATTCCTGTTTTAAGTTATTTCTGTTCAACATCAATACAGAAAACTCCCCTATGACTCCTGGTTCAAAGGCTCGCCTATTTTTTTCAAAATGGCCGCCATTTTTGTCCCGCGAAATTCACTTTTGACCCATTTCCTAGCTTTACAAATAATTTCAGGTGTCCTACATTGTAAAAATCTGTGTCAATGTAAAGAGTAGATATATGAAATAATTCTGTTACAAAAAATCAGCGAAAAATTATATCTATTTTTTTATTTTCAGCCATTTTAGTTAACATTGAATTGTCCATCTGACTTGTGAAATCCACTTTTCCGTCAACAACAGTGGCACGTTTTAAAACCTGTTTTTAGTTATTTCTGTTCAACATCAATACAGAAAACTCCCCTATGACTCCTGGCTCAAAAGCTCGCCTATTTTCGAAATGGCCGCCATTTTTGTCTCGCGAAATTCACTTTTGACCTATTTCCTAGCTTTAAAAATAATTTCAAGTGTCCTACATTGTAAAAATTCATGTCAATGTAAAGAGTAGATGTATGAAATAATTTTGTTACGAAAAATCAGCAAAAAATTATATCCATTTTTTTTATTTTCAGCCATTTTAGTTAACATTGATTTGTCCATCTGTCTCGCAAAATCCCCTTTTGGACCATTTGCCTTAAACCCTCTGTTGATAGGATTCCTGTTTTAAGTTAATTTTGTTCAACATCAATACAAAAAACTCTCCTATGACTCTTGGTTCAAAAGCTCGCCTATTTTCAAAATGGTCACCATTCTTGTCTCGCGAAATTCACTTTTGGCCCATTTTCTAGCTTTACAAATAATTTCAGCTGTCCTGCATTGTAAATTAAAGCCATGTCACTGTAAAGAGTAGTTATCCCACCGAACGAAGTTCAAGGGGGATATAGAGAAGCCGTCCGTCCGTCCGTTCGTCCGTCCGTCTGTCCGTCCGTCTGTCCGTCCGTGTGTCCGGGCGATAATTCCAATACCGGTTGACGGATTTGGTTTAAATTTTATAGGCTTATGCCTTATGAATGTAGGACCTCTGCTCGAGAAGGAATTTTCAATATGGCCGCTCAATTCAAAATGGCCGCCATTTTTCGTAAAAAATGTAATCGTTGATAACTCAAACATAAGGTGACGGATTTGGTTCAAATTTTATATGCTGATGCCTAGGGACAAAGGAGTTTTGCACAAAAAGAGATTTTCAAGATGGCCGCTTAATTTCAAAATGGCGGCCATTTTTCGTAAAAATATGTAATTTTTGATAACTCAAATACCAGTCAACGAATTTGGTTCAAATTTTAAATGATGATGCTTATGGACACAGTAGCTATGTTCAACAAAAAATTTTCAAGATGGCCACTTAATTTCAAAATGGCGGCACTTTTTCGTAAAAAAACGTAATCTTTGATAACTCAAATACCAGTGAACAGATTTGGTTGAAATTTTATATGATTATGCCTAGGGACACAGTAGCTCTGTTCAAGAAATAATTTTCAAGATGGCGGCTGAATTTCAAGATGGCAGCCAATTTTCGTAAAAAACGTAATCTTTGATAACTCATATACCAGTGAACGGATTTGGTTCAAATTTTATATGATGATGCTTAGGGACACAGTTGCTATGTTCGACAAAGAATTTTCAAGATGGCCACTTTATTTCAAAATGACTGCAATTTTTCGTTAAAAAAACATTATCTTTGATAACTCGAATACCATACATATTTGGTTCAAATTTTATATGATGATGGCTAGGGACACAGTTGCTTTGTTCAAAAATGAATTTTCAAGATGGCCACTGAATTTCAAAATGGTGGCCATTTTTCGTAAAAAAAACAAAATTTTGATAACTCTAATACCAGCGAACGGATTTGTTTTAAATTTTATATGATAATGACTAGGGACACAGTAGCTCTGTTCGAGGAAGAATTTTCAAAATGGCAGCTGAATTTCAAAATGGTTGCCATTTTTCTTAATTCAAATTTCATATGCTGATACCTAAGGACACTATAGCTCTGTTCGAGAAAGATTTTCAAAATGACTGCAGAATTTCAAATGGCCGCCATTTTTAGTAAAAAAAATGTTCTTTGATAACTCAAATTTTAATTTATGGATATGGTTTACATTTTATATGTTGATGCTTAGGGACAAACAAGCTCTGCTCAAGAAGGAATTTTCAAGATGGCCTCTAATAATCTAAATATGTTTTGTTCGGTGGGATTTGCTACTCCGTGGAGTTGCTGTTTTTCTAGTTGTATGAAATAATTTTGTTACAAAAAAACGGCAAAATATTATTTTATTTTCAGCCATTTTAGTTAACATTGATTTGTCCATCTGTCTCTCAGTCAGTCCAAAAAAGTGGCAAGTTTTAAACCTCTGTCAACACTTTTTAAATCCTCTGTAGATAGGATTCCCAATTTAAAATAATTTTGTTCAACATCAATAAAGAAAAAAAACCTGTGACTCCTGCTTCAAAATCTCGCCTAATTTCAAAATGGCCACCATTTTTGTCTCGGGAAATTCACTTTTGGCCCATTTCCTAGCTTTACAAATAAGTTCAGGTGTCCTGCATTGTAAAAAGCCATGTCTTTGTAAAGTGTAGTTGTATGAAATAATTTTGTCACAAAAAATCTGCAAAAAATTATACCCGTCTTTTTTATTTTCACTTTTGAGCAACACCATGTGAGTCGTACCCACTGTACTAATTTTTATTCACTCGGAAGGAATCAATATGGGTTTTATTCCGAGGGATAACACAGGGCATTATTGCTCAGACATTGCTCAGATTTCTATGACGTTCGTCGTTGACTCTCTGTGTCAGAGCATGATGATGAAATTACAATTCACCTATGTTTAATAGGCTTAGAAAATCTCTGTTTGCAATTTTGTTTGGAAAATATAGTTTCTCATATAAGAAAATCATTAACACGACATTGACCAAGCTGAACTTAATAAGAGAGCTTTATTTTTTCAATATCAAAAATATTCCCTTGTGTTATTCACCGGGTAGTAGTAGTATCATGGGATAAATGCACATATTGGACTGTATAAAATTATATTCATTAAACAGAGTTTCTCTTTAAATTCAATGGCTATTCTTTCAGTTGGGATAGTTGAAAGCCGAAATACAAACTGGAAGACCAACCCAGGGGCTACAAGCTCAAGTGTTCTGACCCTATCAAACGTGACAAAGGATCTCCATGAGAAGATGTATGAATGCAGATTGAATAACACAGCAACTTCTGATTTGAAAGCTACCGTCATATTGGATGTAAAATGTAAGATAGAATCTTTTTGTTTGGCAACTTTTCAAATACCCCTGGTTGGGTAGTACCAGTCGTCAGATTTGCTCCAAATCTTATAAAGGTTTTCCAAAATATCAACACAGTTCAAAAAGTGAGCATTCTGGCTAAAACGTGCATGACGATGTGTTGAAAATCAAACATAGATGAGGAGTACAATTACCAAAGATGGGATGCCCAGGGGTTGAGTTGTTAATGGCCAAATGATCTAGCAGTTGAGTTATGTATTGATAAACTGTTTAAGTATTTGGTGGGTGATACATGTATACACCCTCTGATTTATGTTTTTTTGTCTACTTATATTGTTATGGTTTCAGTCCTTAAGTTTCTGTATTGCACTTGCATTCATAATAAGAAGGCGGAATTTAATGTGTCATTTTCTCCTTGTATCTTTTATTTTTCAAATGAACCCTTTGTCCAATTATCATATTGTGTCCTCAGAACAAATTTTAGAACGGTGAAAAAGTAGAAAAACATAGTTTTCACTTGAAAAACGTGGCCTCAAAGCACAAAAAGTGTCAGTAACAAGTGTCATCCTACAGTACCATCTCTACAAGAAAATAGTTGGATAGAGATAATGAAAAACACAATGTAACCAAAAAGCTAGCAACAAATAAAAGCTAACTATTAACCAGCAAAACGATTGATAGATGACAAGATATGTCAATTACAAGCCTTAGTTTTCAAGACAGCTCTTTTATACATTTTTCCATGGATCCGAATCCAAAGACTGTGACTTTAGGTGTGGTTCACAACTGAACCCCTGAGACTGATAACATGTATAATTAAGAGCTTTTGCTTCATTCTCATTAAGAGAAATTAGAAAATAGTTTGTTGCAATATTGTTGTTGAAAGTTGACAGAATGGACCATTTTATTTGGTTAAATAATAGTCTTGAGAAAACATCTTAGAAACTGCACCTATACACTTTATATTTGTACTGATTGCAGATAAACCTGGCACTGCTACTTCGCGTGGTAATGTTGAAGTAAATGAACAAGAAACTGCTACATTGAGATGTAATCATCCAAGTGATAGAGGAAATCCACGGTCAACATTCAAGTGGTTTAAGGGAGCATCTGATACTCCCTTCACCGATGAATCATCAGCAACCCTGACTATAAGTAGTGCCACTGTTGATAATTATGATGACACATACCGATGCACACCAACTAACTCAGCAGGGGATGGAATATCTGCTTCAGTTACATTAACTGTGAGAGGTAACATACATTACTTTTATATGTCAGACTTAACTCACTCTTCATTATTTTGCATTAGCTTACCACAAGTAAATTGTCATTTAAAACATTGAAATGATACATTTGTATATAATTGTTGATTATTTCAGCCAAGCCTGCCATGAGTAAATACCCAACAGGTATTGTTGATGCCATTAATACTCAGCCACTGCCTGACAATGTAAAATGTATTGATAAAGCTAAACCTGGATCTTCTTACAAATGGTATTTAAATGGAAGTGAAATAACAGGCTCTAATTCAATATACCAGTACAGTAGTTCAAATTCAACGTCTGGAAAATGGACAACTACAACAAGTTCTCTCAGCTGGAAAAGTGGTTCATCCGAGGCACAGAGAAAAGCTGGGAGTGGCAGTGTGAAATGTGAAGCTACAAATACAGCTGGAGATGATGAGAAAACATTTACTATTAACGTACAATGTAAGATTTTCAAATTGACTTTGTCCCTTTAAAACATAATCCTGAAATGCATGCAGTTTAAAAATCAGATTGAATTACCTTGAATTAACAATACAATTTGCATGTATCTCACCTCTAATTAGAGGAGCGTTTGTTTTTATGTCCCCACCACATAGTGTGGGGCCATATTGTCGGCCTAGGCGCGTCCGTCTGTCTGTCCGTCCATACATCCGGCAGTTTTCTCCAAAACCGCTACAGATATCACCTTCAAATTTTCAGGGATAACTTTTTTAACTATGAGTGCATACAGATGTGGATGAAAAAAAATTATCTCGATACCTACTTCCTGTCAGCCATTTTGAAGTCAAATGCTAAAATCCTTGTCTGCAAGCTTTAAGAAAAACGGCTTCACAGTTGCTTTTAAAACTTTAACATCTTGTTCAGCTCACTTCATTCTAGATCTGAGCAGGTTTTGGACCTGTTAGCTCAGTCATGTCAGCCATTTTGAATGTTTTAAGAAAAGTTAGCGCACGCTAATACTTTGTATCACATTGAATGGTGTTTTTCAGTTTTCATACTTTAACTATTTAGTAGCTTTATAAATAATTTCAGGTGTACATTGTTGTAAAAGCCTATGTTATTGTTAACCGTAGTTATATGTGATAATTTTGTAAAAAGAAATCAGTAAAAATTCATAATCACTTTTTTATTGTCGGCCATTTTGGATTTTTCCGTCCTAAAATCTTGTCTGTAAAGTCTTGTCTACGCGTTTTCAGGTGAACCGTTTGGTAGATCAATTTCAAATTTTCAGGGATGATTCTTAGTATGAAAATCTAGATCTGATTAGTTTTTGGGCATTCTGGGTAAATGTCAAGGCAGCCATTTTGGATTTTCTGTCCTAAAATCTTGTCTGTAAAGTCTTGTCTACGCATTTCCAGGTGAACTGTTTGGTAGATCAATTTCAAATTTTCAGGGATGATTCTTAGTATGAAAATCTAGATCTGATTAGTTTTTATGCATTCTGGATAAATGTCAAGGCAGCCATTTTGGATTTTCCGTCTTAAAATCTTGCCCGTAAAGTCTTGTCTACGCGTTTTTAGGTGAACCGTTTGGTAGATCAATTTGAAATTTTCATGGATGATTCTCAGTATGAAAATCTAGATCTGATTAGTTTTTTGGCATTCTGGATAAATGTCAAGGCAGCCATTTTGGATTTTCCGTCTTAAAATCTTGCCCGTTAAGTCTTGTCTACGAGTTTTTAGGTGAACCGTTTGGTAGATCAATTTCAAATTTTCAGGGATGATTCTTAGTATGAAAATCTAGATCTGATTAGTTTTTGGGCATTTTGGGTAAATGTCAAGGCAGCCATTTTGGATTTTCTGTTCTAAAACCTTGTTTGTAAAGTCTTGTCTACGCATTTCCAGGTGAACCGTTTGGTAGATCAATTTCAAATTTTCAGTATGAATGTTTCTTAGTATGAAAATCTAGAACTGACTAATTTTCTGGGTAAATTTTAAGGTGGCCATTTTGGATTTTCCGTCCTCAAATTGTGTCGGTAAAGTCTTGTCTACTCATTTTTAGGATAACCGTTTGACGGGATCACCCATAGGTGGGGACATTTTGTACACATTTGTGTTCTTGTAGTTTCTTTGTTTTCTCTTGAAAAGAATGCTTGACATGCTGCTTTTTTATTCAAATAGAGACTATAACTCATAAGAATTAATGTAGACTCTTTAAAAAATGGAAGTGATGATTCAATGAAAGCTAAATTCATTAAGCTTTTAAGGAGGATTATTTTGTAGAAAATAAACCATATATTTTTGAAAACTGTTGAAGTGAGTTGAGGTGCTCCTCTCTGGATAAAGTGCCATGTTCTTGGAACATATTCCGCAGAGACAATTTCAATAATGTATTAAACCATTAAAGAAAAAGATTTTAACAAATATTTAAGTAGCATAAGATTCTAGCATTTGAAGTATTCATAGCTTCAATGTAGAAAAAAATTAAAAATGAGGGAAAATATCTCATGTTCTTTAAATATCAATCTGGAATTGAGACTAATGGCAACTGTGTAGAAGCATCATATGCAGTTTGAAATTAATAAGATAAAAAAATAATGAAATAAAAAAATATTTAAAAAAAGATTGAATAAATAAAATTCAATTTTGATCAAAAAGATTTACAAAGTACACATGTAAATGTATAATGATGTACATTTTATTCTTATGCATTACACTTGGTTCAATAGTTTTGTATTAATTTTAGATAAACCCGGCACTGCTACTTCGGGTGGAAATGTTAAAGTAAATGAAGAAGAAACTGCTACATTGAGATGTAATCATCCAAGTGATAGAGGAAACCCAAAGTCAACATTCAAGTGGTTTAAGGGAGACTCCAATACTCCCTTAACTGACCAATCATCAGCAACCCTTACTATAAGTAGTGCCACTGTTGATGATCACGATGACACATACAAATGCACACCAACTAACTCAGCAGGAGATGGAACCCATGCATTGGTTACATTAACAGTAAATGGTACTTATATCCCATACATTCAATTAACCATTATACACAGGTGTAAATGTTGATGCAAACAATAAGAATGTGTCCATCTAGTCCGAATGTATGGAACAAGTATATAGATTATAACTTCAAAATAAAGAAGGGATGTCAGTGTGTTTATAGCCATACCCTTTGTGACAAGCAGTTGTCATATGTAACAATTGTTATCCTTTTGTTACTAATTGCAAGTGGTGACACATTGTCATATAAACGCATTGATCATTATTTTGTAGCTGTGCCATCCATAACCACACATCCACCTTCAGATGTTGATGTCATTAATTCTGATTCTACATTGCCGACAAGTCTTAAATGTATAGACAAGGCAAGGCCAGGATCTTCTTACAAATGGTATTTAAATAACAGTGAAATAACAAGTAATCATGCTGTTTATGCATTCAATGACTCTCCATCAATATCTGGAAAATGGACAACAACAACTAGTTCACTGAAATGGAAAGATGGTTCAACAGAAGCTGAAAGGAGAGGAGGATCTGGGAATATCAAATGCACAGCAACTAATGATGCTGGATCAGCTGATAAAACTGCCAATGTCAATGTACAGTGTAAGTTATCTTTTAGTCTCTTATTATACCACTACCAGAAGTGGCTACTCAATATGGTTATAGTCCTTAACTATTTTATGACACTACCAGAAGTCATGACATAATGTTATAGTCTCAACTTTCTTTGGCCTTTTTCAAGTATGTGTCATAATCTCAAACACTGCTGTAATTGTAATTGTTTTTCAGATAAACCTTATAACATACAAATATCACCAAACACTAAGACAATAACACAAGTAGAAAATGAAACCTTGCAGGAAGTAAAATGTGTTTCAACAGCTAATCCACCAAGTGGCTACAAATGGTATTTCAACAGTTCTTCTCAAGAACACAACTCTGGTGACACACTTCAACTGGGTAAATTACAGCGAAGCCATCATGGAAATTACAGCTGCACTGCAACTAATGATATAGGGTCTGCCTCAAGTCAAATAATTTTGGTTGTGCTGTGTAAGTATTCACCATTGAGGAATGAAACAACACTTCCATCTTATCATATAAATCAGATTGAAGCAAATTTAAATGTCACATTTCTTCTTAAGTTTCAGATGTAAATAACTTAACAGACCACCTTTTATTGTGTAGTCTGCATAGATGGATCAACATTCCAGAATTTATGAAAGTATTTTGAATCAGAAAATTAGTGAAATAAATTTCTAATGTTTATTTCAATTATGTATCATCATTATGGAATGAGGATTTTGTTTCCAAGATTACAACTCTTACAGAAGTGAGATGCTTATTAAATCACAAAATCATCTGGTCAGTCCAAAATTTCAAATTGGATGTGATTTTTAGCAATATGCTATTTAGATATGTACTCAATTTTTACTATGACCTTGTCATTGTACTCGAAAGGAATATAAAAAGAAAACGGCTAAAACTGATAATATCAAAATGGAAAGAATCATATTATTGATCTCTATTTTGGTCTTTCCTGTCACACGGTGAGTATTTTGTCAAGTCACTATAGTAATTATACTGAGTAAACACTGTTAATTTCTATATTTAGACTCCAGACTTAGTAGTGCCAAGATCTGATTATGTTTTTTGGCATGTTGGGTAGAGCACTTGGTGGCCAGTGTGTCTTGTTTCATGTTTTTGGGTTGGCAGGTTTTTTGACCACACTTCAAAATAATTCAGTCAGAATTTAGGACATACATGTACTTGTTGTATCATTGTATGTTATTTGTCTTTATAGATCCAACAAAAGTGACAAGCTTTGTGTCTTCCACTGGTGAATCTCCTGTATTGGAAAATTCTGAATTTTCCTTGACCTGTAATGCTGACAGTAGACCAGCATCTACAATAGTTATTTCTCTGGAATCGAATAAGGAAAAAGAGGCAAAGGAGGTATTAACACTGGTACATACCATTCCTAGAGCTACATGTCGCCACATGGGAATGTACAGTTGTGATGCAAATAATCCCATTGGAGCGAGTATGGTTGAACACTTTGTTACAGTTCACTGTAAGTACATTGCTACTGCTAGTTTGGGTAGTTTAGAGAATACAAAATAAAATGCATGATGGGTCTCCGAAAAGGTAAATATGACATGCATAATTTACATATTCTTAGATAAACATGCAGACACATTATTCAGTCATATATGTACAGGGTGGGCCAAAAATGTTTTGCTTCAACATTTTTAATATTGCAGAAATATGTTAAAGTGCTACATCATTGGAATTGAGACAATTCAATTTCCACAAAGTGATATATAATTCATTTCACATAAATTAGTATTTGTCTTGAAATAACATTTCAATTACCACAGCTAGGGTTCAAGATCATGATTAACAATTGCTGAAACTGACCAGAGAGACACTGTATAATCCCCATGTCAACTTTGGGGATATAATTCTATTAATAGAAGATCAAAATTGTTGATTTATGTATCAAATGGAAGCAAATTGATTGACAAATACAATATTATTTAGTGCCTTGTCTATTCTCATAGGTATTGGTAATTAAGGTATCAAATAATTAAATGTTTACACATTTTAGCAAGACATTTTGTAGATAATGTCACTCTATTTAAGGATAAAATGATTATGAAATGGTCAATAATGATGTTGTACTTAGATAACTTAACTTGACTGAATATGTATGCACATTTTGATACGCATGGGATATATGTAGTGTCAAATTAAAAATTGTATTTTTTTAATCAGTGGTAATGTGATTTTTTTGACAAATTTTCACGAAACCATCAAATATGTTTTTTGAACCATAGCATACGGTGCCAAATCACTTGGATTACGGATTGTTCAAATTGCATATAGACTAATGGGCATTGGTCAAGAAGTAGTTTCCATTTTTTTTTATTTTCAGCCATTTTAGTTAACATTGATTTGTCCATCTGTATGGCGAAATCCAATTTTGGACCAACAATAGTGGCACGTTTTAAAACCTCTGTCGATAGAATTCCCTAATGGCCGCCATTTTTGTCATGTGAAATTCACTTTTCGCCCATTTCCTAGCTTTACAAATATTTTCAGCCATTTTAGTTAACATTTGCCTTAAAACCTCTGTTGATAGGATTCCTGTTTTAAGTTATTTTTTCAACATCAATGTAGTAAACTCCTCTATGACTCCTGGTTCAAAAGCTCGCCTATTTTCAAAATGGCAGCAATTTTTGTCTCGCCAAATTCACTTTTGGCTCATTTCCTAGCTTTACAAATGATTTCAGGTGTCCTGCATTGTAAAAAGCCATGTCTTTGTTAAGAGTAGTTGTATGAAATTATTTTGTTACAAAAAATGGGCTCGGGCAGTTTTTCACCATTCTGACTATTTTTTGAGTGATTTTTGGCCAAATTTGCCAAAGTGACCCCCCCCCCCTAGAATGAAAAGTGAACCCCCCTTGAAAAATTCTGGCTACGGGCCTGTAATTTTTTTTCAATATGTCTGCCTGTTTTCAGAAGAAACAGTATCTACATACTGAGTATTGTAATACAGCTGTACCAGTTATCAGATTTCATCTCAGTTTTATAGGATGATGCTTTATCCTCCAGGAGCCCCATCAGACCATCATGCATTTCAGTTATCATGAATTCTCTAAAGTACTTCTATTTGTATTTTACAAACTTATTATGTAAGCACAATTGCTAAAGGGGAACAACAAATATTTTCGAAGGAAACACAGAAAGACAATTATATAAGGAGACAAACCCAATCACAAGTGTGTCAAGTGTTAAATAGCAATCTCAATCCAATCCATGGCACATTTCTTTTTAGTAACAATGAAAAGTATCATTATGTTACAAATGATGAATGTAGAAAAATAATACACAAATCAGTCATCAAACATATTTGCAATTTTAATGTTTTGTTTCAGGTTCCCCGACAGATGATGATGCAAATCCTTCACAGGTTAAATCTTATGCAATGGTTGGAGATACAAAGGAAATTGTCTTTAATAGCATTGGCTTTCCATTGCCTGAATTTAAATGGTATAAGCTAGACATTGATAATAGCACACATAAGCTGCCCGATCATATGTCGACTTATGTTAACACAACTAACAGGTACACACATCGTGCTGTGATGAATATCCAACGCATAAAAGCAACAGACTTTGGAAAATATATCTGCATGGCATCAAACAGTGTCAGTAACACAACAAAGATGTTTGAACTGAGTGCAGCAGGTATGTAGTACAAAGAACATCAACTGTTAAGTAATGCAACTAAGCTTTTTATGCAATTGTTGAAGCATTACCTTAGTTAGAATCGCTTCGCAGAATACTACACGTAGATGACGGTTGTTTTCTGGCTGAATTCTTTATTAACAGTGCTTTAAGTTACATGTTTTGACAGTGCATGAATTGACATCCGTTTTCCTGTTGTCTGTCCTATCATAGTTCTGCAAAAAGTATTTGGTATTTTGGTGGCTTTGTATAAAAACCTCGTACCTCATACCCATGCACTCACGCAGGACAGTCATGATACAGTCTTTGAAAGGTTCAATTTTAAAAGTTTTAAAAGACTATTCAATCTTAATTCTATCTTTATGTTTGTATAAAGCACTCATGATATTTATAGATGTGAAATTTGTCTAGACAAAGATAGATATAGAGTCAAAATAAAGCCTGAATTGTTAATTTTAGTTTTTTATTGTTTTCATAATAGGCCATTCTTAGGCTTGTTCAATAGGGAAAATTTACTCTAAATTAGTTTTAAATATGCCGGAGATTTACTAAATGGAATTCTGTGTTTCATTTTATTTAATCACAGTTTGAGTAACGATAACTGTAGTCTCCGATTTCGTATATTCACCACAACACATGACAGTTTAATTTGTTTGCTTAACTGTGGCAATATAGGTGAAACCTTTTAAATTGACTTCCTTTAGGTAGAGAGCAATTGCATCAGGCGTATGGGTTACCCTGTTAAATTAGATTAAAAGCATTTTGCATTCATGGTTTAGGAAACATACAGGGTGTTCCAAAAGTAACAGGACTGGTGCTGGCATTTTGTCAATTCTGCACCAATTGTCTTCAAATTTTACAAAATGAACTTTGAAGTATTGCAACTAAAACTGGAAAGTTTCAAGAAAGATGATAAAATGTGGGTAGAGTTATGGTTACTATAGTAACATGACATCACAATACCCGGTGCAACTTTTCCCTAAAAATGTACCATTTAACATTTTTGAATTACTAAAGAAAGTATCCCATTCACATATTACAATACAACATTTCTTATTGGTTTCATTAGTTGCTTTGTTGTTATGGTGTTGCCTTACAACTCGGATTCAAGTGTAATTTCTTAATAATAATATTTATTCAATTTCAATTAATATTACTTTGTATAACAGTCTGCACAATTCACAGTTGAGTGTTTGAAAAGACCCAATTTGATGCCAATCATCCACCTTGATAACACAATTACCCGCAGGTCAGCATTAAAGACCACTGCAGCTATGGAAGAGCTTGGTCTTGAGGTCTAAGACTAGGCAACATATTTTTCTGATCATGCAATATCTAATATTTACTTGTATGGAGAACAGAATGCTGATCAGCGGGGTAGGACCTTTAGAGATGAGAATAACCTTCTCCAAGTTGTCCAAGGTGTGGGATGTGTCCTCAAATAGGTTCACATATGACTCTCATTTGTATGAGTCATTGTTCCAGCATTCTAAACTTAAACTGACTCAAAGTAGAGATACATAGGAATATCAAATAATGTAAAGCAAATGTAATTCCTACCAGTTGTTGCATTTCAACTTTAACATTGAAACGGGACTTTTTCGTGAAAATCATAAATTTTTCATTCTAAACCAAAGTAATTAATATTATTGTTTGAAATTTTGGTAGTATATTCGCAACATCTATCTTTTTCACATATATTCGGTGTTTTTCATTCTGACCCCCAGGGGCCGTGTATGGGGGGGGGGTCAGGAAAACAGAAATTTTCGCTAATTTTTAGATCTTTCTGAAGTATAGCTTTATTATACTCAAATGAAAGGCAATTAAGAGTAGATTGCAAATATTGTATCTTTTTTCTGATTTGAGCCTCGTAAAATTCAAAATGGCCGTCTAATTTACGATTTCGCAATAATTTTTCGATCCCTTCAAAGTATGGCTATATAATACTCAAATTGAAGGAATTTTGTAGTAGATCACAATTATGGTATTATTTGTCAGATTTGTACCTCAGAAAATTCAAAATGGATTTTTTCAAGATGGCCGCCGCTTTAAAAATGACGGGACTTTTTCGCAAAAATCATAAATTTTCATTCTAAACCAAAGTAATTAATATTATTGTTTGAAATTTTGGTATTGTATTCGCAACATCTATGTATTTAACAATATATTCCATGTTTTTCATCCTGACCCCCAGGGGCCCGTGTATTGGGGGTCAGGAAAGCAGAAATTTTTAGATCTTTCTGAAGTATAGCTTTATTATACTCAAATGAAAGGCAGTTAAGAGTAGATTGCAAATATTGTATCTTTTTTTCTGATTCGAGCCTCATAAAATCCAAAATGGCGGTCTAATGTACGATTTCGCAATAACTTTTCGATCCTTTCAACGGATGGCTATATATTACTCAAATTGAAGGAATTTTGGAGTAGATCACAATACACTGTATTATTTTTCAGATTTGTACCTCAGAAAATTCAAAATGGCTGCTTTGCAGGAATTCGCAATTCTAAAATCTAAATTTTTCAATTTTAACCAAAGTAATGAGTATAATTGATTAGAATTCGGTAATTGATATTTTGTTCGTTGGGATTTGCTACTCCGCGGAGTTGCCATTATCTAGTTGGTTCTTGGGTTCTTCAGTCGATATATAGAGTCTCCATATGCCTCTTATTTTCTGATCTCCTTTGACATTGCCACGCCCAACTATGTCAGCTAACACAATACTTGTACATACATCAATGTTTTTGAGTTCCCTTGGGTTCAAAATGTCTCTTGTTCTCATAAAGAGTGGAGTGACTCCATTCATAATTGTCTCAATTTCCATGATATTTGGTAGTGATGACTTTTTTAAAGTTTTGGTATATTATTGTTTTTGAGATGATCCCTCTTGGTCAGTATTTGTACTTGGTAAGGGTATTAATTCCAATATCATATTCACTCTATAGCATGTACACTACACTGAAATGTTTTATGTGCTATAATTAGGTCACACAATTGCAATATAACTGTTCAAAATTTCTCAATGTGAAAATATACTGAAGGAAAGTATATTTTCACATTGAGAAATTTGGTATCCCTGTGTTCCTGATATGTTTATAATGTCCAATATCCACTTTAGAATACTTTACTCTCCATAGAACTGAACCAGTCCTGTTACTTTTGGAATATGTGTTTATACTGAATATTCATATCTTGTTAAGCTTGCTTCATATGTAATTTTTTATTATAGGACCACCTGAAAAGCCACACAATCTTAAGGTTATTGACATTAAAACAGCTGTGTCTCTGTACATTCAATGGACACCTGGTTACAATAATGGAAAACCTCAAACATTTACTGTAGAATATCAGAAGATCAAGGAGACACAATGGACAGAATATAGGAAGGGTATTTTAGATCCACCTCCACTACCATTTAAGGTTCATCCACTGGACAGTAATACATCATATGTTTTTAGAGTGAATGCAATAAATGAAGAAGGGTCTAGTGGATTTACAGAGCCATCAAGTGCAGGAACTACATGGGCATTACCAAGCAGTAAAGAAATCAATCCTACTTTTATAAAGGATGGAAACAACATAATAGTAACATTTAACAATTTTCCAAGAAATTGCACGAGTGTCACCATACATTGCTGCGAAGCTGAGGCAGCAACTAGCTGTATTACAAGAAATGTTACTAACCTTGGAGAAACACCTAAAGAAGTAGTTATATCAATAGAAGAGAATAAAAAATACACAGTGTCCTTTCACTATTATCAGCGAGATGATATCATACACAAGTCCCAGCCACAGATTGCAGAAAAAAGTAACTCTCACCCTTTTTACATTTTTAACTCTCTGGATACTGTATGATGGGTCATTTGACTCCCGCTTTAATTTGGCGAATTTGAAAAAAATCACAAATTAAAAGTCACTAATGGTTTAGTTTTTACAAAATCTGAAAAGCATAAGGGTAATAATCAGAACGTGTCACTTCCAAATTGGCTCAGGGGAGTTGCCTCAGTAATAAGATTACTAGATATAGTAGTTGAATTTAGGTGTGACAATTTGAATTCTGTTTCAGTTTATATGGAAGTTGTGGCGTCACTGTCCAAGCCCTAGAGTTTGCCAAAATAATAGCAGCCAATATGGCAAAAATGGCAAAATCTCCAAATTAAGTAGCGCCAAATTAATCCAATCTACAGTAGATGATAGTTATCCCATTGAATGAAGTTCAGGGGGATAAAGTGGCCACAATTTTTACATGTTTTGTTTTTTGTTATTTTATGTTTTTACTATACCTCGAAAAGAAGTAGAGCGATTTTGTTCATATTTGATATGTGAATTCTCATATGCATGATACATTGTCTTATGACAATTTGGCAGCCATTTTAACATGTGTTAATTTTTTTACTGAGCTCGAAAAATGTAGCAATTTTGTTGATATTCTACATGTGACTACTTTAAAGCAAAATTTAATATCTTATGACAATTTGCCCAGTAAGCAGCCATTTTGAAATATGGACACCCTTTTTAGGTGTGTTGTTTTATGTTTTTTGCTATAACTGGAAAACTATTGCAGTTGAAATTTTATATGTGAATACTATAAAGCATACTACAATTCGGCTAATAGGCAGTCATGGCTTTTCAATGGAATTTGCTATACTGTTACATTGCTTTTATCTAGTTAAAATGCTTTTTATGTCCCCACCAAATTGTGTGGGGCCATATTGTTGGCTGAGGCTCGTCTGTCCGTTCCTCAGTATGTCTATCCAACATATTTCTCCAAAAATGCTACATATATCATCTTGAAATTTTCAGGGATAACTAATAAGTTCATACAGATGCTGTAGAAAACAAATTTGACTCAAAACCTACTTCCTGTCCGCCATTTTAAAGTCAAATGCTAAAACCCTTGTCTACAAACATTAAAAAACGACTTCACACCACTTCAAAGTCACTCTTAAAATCCTTAATATCTTCTTTAACTCACTTCATTCCAAATCTGATTAGGTTTTAGACATGTTGGCTCAATTATGGCAGCCATTTTTAATGGCTTAAGAAAATTCAGTACCTTGTTAATATGATAGACAGTATTGAGTTGTCATAGTTAATCTATTTAGCAGCTTTAAAAATAATTTCAGTAGTCCTGTGTTGTAAAACCCATGTCACAGTTCACAGTAGTCGTATGCAATAATTTTGTTTCAAATAATCATGGGCTTTCAATTAGAGTTGAAAGCCCATGAAAAAATCAACAAAAACTTATGTCTGCTTTTTTATTGTTGGCCATTTTGTTTTCCCATTTTAAAATCTAGACGATCCATTTGACAGATCAATTTCAAATTTTCATGGATGATTGTTTGTACAAAAATCTTGAACTGATTAGTTTTTGGGCATTCTAGATAAATGTCAAGTCAGCCATTTTAGATTTTCCATCCTAAAATCTTTCTGTAAAATCTTAGGCCCCAATCACACCAGACTAGTTCTATATAATCGTTCTTTCAAGTCCCAGGAAAAATCCGTAAAACGGGCTAAGTCTGGCTGTTGTCAAGAAATATGTCAAAAATAATTAGCCACTTCGTTCATAAACAGTCTTCAATACGTCCATCTCATTCCTAGTTTGTTCAGGTCGCACCATGTCAGTATGCACACGCACTACAAATTGATATCCGATTGCACAATGTCGTTAACTCGTCCCTAGTAGGGTCGAAGTATGGCAATTACGTTCCTAGTCTAGTATGTCATCTTGTTTGAAGTACATTGTCACACGATCTAATTACAGAATGGTATGGACACCATCGAATTTTGAATCATTTCAAAATTCTAAGATCACCTTCCCGTCTGAGAACGTTCATGAAGTTCGTAAATAGACCTTAGAAAGTTGCAGCTATGTTCATTCCATACATAGTTTAAAATCAGAAGAATCAGTGGCAACTTGTTTGGTGTGCTAACTTATTCATAAGCAGTCTTAAATACATTCTTAATCAGTTTAAACCCGTTTGCAATTAGTTCTACCTCATTCTCAATACCTCCTCAGACAGTTCAACTCATTGTTAAAACGTCCCTGGTTGGATTGAAGTACGACGGTTCCGTTGATGATAGTACATCCAGCTTGTTGTTAGTACGTGTCACTCGTTCTAATTGTAGAATGAGTGACCATGTCCTCAGACAGTTCAACTAGTTGTTAAAACGTCCCTGGTAGGATTGAAGTACGACGGTTCTGTTGGTAGTATGTCCAGCTCGTCGTTAGTACGTTGTCACTCGTTCACTCGTTCTAATTGTTGTTGAACATATCGACCATGAGAACATTTTGAGCATGTTCTAAGTTTTAGAGGACCTACCCGTTCGAGTTTGTTTGATGAAGTTTGTCAATAGACCCAAAACGGTTCTAAGTACGTCCAGTCCGTTTGTACACAGTTGAAGCCCGTTTTCGAGAATGTAGTGAAAACTAGTTTGGTGTGATAGTAGGGTTATATATGCATTTTCAGGCAAATTATTTTATGCATTAATTCCAAATTTTCAGGGATGATTATTAGTATGTGAGTTTCGAACTGATTAGTTTCTGGGCACTCTGGGTAAATATGAAGGTGGCCATTTTTGATTTTCCGTGCTAAATATTGTCTGTAAGGCCTTGTCTATGTGTTTCCAGGCGAACCGTTTGACAGGGATGATTCTTTATATCAAAATCTCGAACACATTAGTTTTTGAGCATTCTAGGTAAATGTTAAAGCAGCTGTAATGGCCTTCAATAGCAAGTCGTCACTACAGTCTCAGCTGTAGTTGCTAACCTTTATTTCTCAGGGGTAGAGCGTCTGATTGAGAGTGGAAGGTCCTGGGTTCGATTCCCCCATTGGGCGCATTGAATTTAGCACATTTTCTTCTGGGTCTAGTACCTGGCTCCTTACACTACAGCTCCCTGATGGATGTGCCCAAGGGTCATAACAGATCAATTGCAAATTTTCAGGGATGATTGTTAGTATAAGAAACTTGAACTGATTAGTTTCCAGGCATTCTGCGTAAATGTAAAGTGGCCATTTTGGATTTCCAAGCTAAAACATTGTCTGTAAAGTCTTGTCTAAGTGTTTTCAGGCTAATTTTTTACTGGATCAATTTTCAGTGATGATTTTTTTAGTATGCAGTCATACTGTCAGGAGGCAGTCATTTTGGATTTTCTGTCCTAAAGTCTTGTCTGTGAAGTCTAGTCTTCACTAAGTTTCCAGGGAAACTATTTGACTGATTGATTTCTAATTTTCATGGATGATTCTTACTTTGAATACCCTTTACTTTATAATGAGCATGATAGTTTGAGACCCTCTGTTTATAAAGTATATGTCACTCTCTAAATATAATAGCAAATATAGTGTAGCATTTCTATATCACACTGAATTATACTTACTTATGATTTGACTTAAAATTGATCAATTTGTCAATACTGGATTTTGTAAGATTTTGTTTATTTCAAAAGGTTTGTTGATTTTTTAGGGCAAGAGCCACCAAATATAGGTGCTATAATAGGAGGTGTCTTTGGAGGGCTGCTTCTAGCTGTTGTTGTGGTGTTGATAGCAGTTTTTGTATGGAAAAAGAGACAAAATGATGGACAAGGTTAGTAAATTCATGTTTAATAAATATTCCATTATATATTCCTAGATCATGTAATTTAATTTGGATTGATCCTAGAATGTTGGTTTTCCCTCATAAAATTTGTCTGTTGAGTAGTTGTTGCCAACATTGATCAATGTGAAATTTTGAGGGCTATTTCTTTGTATAAACAATTAATCTTTGGGAATTCTTGGTGAATTTATAGGGTTGTCATTTTGGACATTTCCTTTGAAAAACTTGTCTCTGTGTTTTTTTATTCTTCCCGCGAAAACATTTTGTGAGTTGATCCTTTCCTAGTATGCAACTTTACATTCAATTTTATACATTCTGAGTAGATATAAAGGGTGACCATTTTGGATTTTCTATCCAGAAATATTATATGTGAAGTCTTGTCTACATCATGGGCATAGTCAGGGGTCCTTACACCCATGTACATGTTTCCAGCCAAACAATTTCATGGAATAATTTGATTTTTATTATTTAATTCTTTAGGAATTTGAGCCTACTTTTTATCAAAGTTCACAACTAATTTGGTACATTTTTATGGGTTTTCCATTTCAATAAATGTTTGTAAGGTCTTGTGAACTAGTTCCCAGCCAAACCATTTGATGGATCAATTTGAAATTTCCAGGGATCATCTTGGTATGCATGTGCCTTGTCACTGTGATAATAACACAATACATGTATAATGATTTTGGATTGTGTTATTATCACAGTGACAAGGCATTAACTTCAAACAATTAACATTAAGAACAATTAATCAGTGCTATAAAAAGAGTTTGATTAGATGTTTATATTATCCAGTGCAGGTGGAATTAGATAAATATATAGAGATTATCCTATATGAGGTTTAGGATATTGGGGTTATCCCGAGGCAAATATAATATATCTGCCTGAGGGCTGCAGGTCCCGAGGGAAAATATATTATATTGGCCAAGGGATAACGATTATATACTATATCTGCCCGCTCGGAGCGGAACGTAAAGCTATATCTGCCCGCTGATGAAAATATAAGTTTTTACAAACCGGCTTTATATACCTATAATACGTCCAAGTATGGGATAAATAAGGGTTATGTACTGGGAGGTTTTGGATATAGGGTATATCCTGAGGGATATATAGAGATTATCCTATATGAGGTTCAGGATATTGGGATTATCCCGAGGCAAATATAATATATCTGCCCGAGGGCCGCAGGTCCCGAAGAAAAATATATTATATTGGCCAAGGGATAATCCCAATATTTTGAACCTTCTATAGGATAATATGTTTATCCCATACCAATCTTGGTCATCTGGTTCACATTGTACAATCGTGAAAATATTTTAGAATATTCATGTCCAGTTTCGTTTTCTTGGCTGTGGGCGGATTTTCCTTTTCTCTCAAATATTCCCACATTTATTTTCTCAATTTTATGATTGATTAAGTGGATGCTCCTTCCCTATTTAGCTCACATGGTGAGCTTTTGCAATCATTCACTTGTCCGTCTGTCTGTCTGCTGTGCGTGCATCCGTCAGTCCGTCAACGATAGTAGCACATTTTAAAACCTCTGTTAATAGGATTCCTGTTTTAAGTTATTTCTGTTCAACATCAATACAGAAAACTCCCCTATGACTCCTGGTTCAAAAGCTCGCCTATTTTCAAAATGGCCGCCATTTTTGTCTCATTTTTGTTTTGTCCATTTCCTAGCTTTACAAATAATTTCAGGTGTCCTACATTGTAAAGATCCATGTCAATGTAAAGAGTAGATGTATGAAATAATTTTGTTACGAAAAATCAGCAAAAAATTATATCCATATTTTTTATTTTCAGCCATTTTAGTTAACATTGATTTGTCCATCTGTCTCACGAAATCCACTTTTGGACAATTTGCCTTAAAGGGTGAAGCATATCGTTTAGCAAATCGAACGCTCGTTTCTGGTGTTGCTCACCGTTTAGTATAAAAGGCCCGATCCTGGAATAATACTCAAGGGTTCACAGGTTCGAGGTCGTTGTGTCAACACCTCTAACTGTTATATAGCATAAGTATATTATAAATCATCACACATTTATAAAAGGGTGATTTTTATTTTGACAAATCAATTTAACATTTATGGATGAAGTTTCAGGATCTTCTATTTGTGTATAATAAGGAAAAATTGGCATCTAAATTTCCCCATAACGTAATAGCACACAGCTTGGCATATGAAATATCCTACAAATGAAACAAAGCAAGAAAAACCGGTTTCTAATACAAGGATTTATATTGGCTGTTGTACATGTATTCTTTGAACGCAATCACTCTTTGGATAACGTTTTCAAAATCATTATAAACGGATTACTTTATCTCAAAGACAATTTTAATAAACTGGATTTTACAGAACTCCCCTTATTACTTAAAAATGGACTGATCCAGTTGATTCGCCTGGAGCCGCCATATTGTTTTTATACGGGATGCTAATCGGAACCCTTTAAAACCTTTGACGATAGGATTCCTGTTTTAAGTTAATTTTGTTCAACGTGAATACAAAAAACTCTCCTATGACTCTTGGTTCAAAAGCTCGCCTATTTTCAAAATGAAATGTCTCGTGAAATTCACTTTTGGCCCATTTCCTAGCTTTACAAATAATTTCAGCTGTTCTGCATTGTAAAAAGCCATGTCACTGTAAAGAGTAGTTGTATGAAATAATTTTGTAACAAAAAATCAGCAAAATATTATATCCGTTTTTTTAAATTTCAGTCATTTTACTTAACATCGATTTGTCCATCTGTTTGCAAAATCCTCTTTTGGACCATTTGCCTTAAAACCTCGTCGATAGGATTCCAGTTTCAAGTTATTTTTGTTTAACATCAATTCAAAAAACTCCCTTATGACTCCTGGTTCAAAAGCTGCTTTGCAAAAAGCCATGTCACTGTAAAGAGTAATTACATTCATTTTTTCAGCCATTTTACTTAACATCGATTTGTCCATCTGTCTCTCAGTCAGTCCAAAATAGTGGCAAGTGGCTTGAAATGATTTTGGCTCAAAAAATCAGCAAAAAATAATATCTGTTTTTTTCAGCCATTTTACTTAACATCGATCTGTCCATCTGTCTCTCAGTCAGTCCAAAATAGTGGCAAGTGGCTTGAAATAATTTTGTTACAAAAAACAGCAAAAAATATATCTGTTTGTTTTTAATTATTTTCTGTCATTTTAGCCATCATTCACTTTTGAGCAACACCATGTGAGCCCAGTACCCACGGTACTATTTTTCAAACCATCAAACAGATCCCGATTGTCTGTGTTTTCTCCATTGTCATTTACAGTCGTTACGCGAACGTTACAAATTATGAACAAATATTCGAGCGGCGATTATGACGTAGCGGGCAGATATACTATATCTGCCCGCTCGGAGTGGGACGTAAAGCTATATCTGCCCGCTGATGAAAATATTATAAGTTTTTACAAACCGGCTTTATGTACCTGTGACATGTCCAAGTATGGGATAAATTAATATATTCCTGAGGGATGGAAGGGACCAAGGGGAGATATGAATATTTCCCCAGGGATATACCCTACACCCAAAACCGACTGTACATAACTGGTTTATCTCATGCGTGAGTGGGTTTGGGGTAGATATAATATTTTCCACCTTTTCAAATGACTAGATAGGCTCATACTGTAAAAGTACAATTCATATTTAACATTTCATAATACATGTACCCCTTAGTTCAATACAATGAAATTGTAACATTTAAACTTTTTTTTTTTAAAAATTTAAAATTTTCCATTTTTGAAACATTCCTGGGAGCGGGATGGATATATTATATCTGCCAGTATTTGGCCTGGCGCAAGACATACAATATAGCATGCCCATTTCTCAGATATGACATATATTCCTGAGTGATATCTACCCCAAACCCACTCAAGTATGAGATTTTTATCTCACGGTATTAATAACTCTCTTCATGAAATCGTTAGTTCAAAATCCATATGTTTTTCTTGTATGAGCAAAACCAGATATATTTAGTCAACAAATATGACTTAACTTTATGACATTTTAAAATATAAAAACTTGATTATATAACAAACACATTAACTTAAAAAGTTCAACAATATGTATACATGTACATGAGAGGGACCAAACACATTCGCTTATTTCTCAGATATCTATATGAATGTGTCAGAGCGTAATGATGAAATTACAATTCATGTGTTTAATAGGCTTACATGGCTTCATACCTCTTACATTTCATTAGCAGACAGATATAATTTTTTGCCGATTTTTTGTAACAAAATTATTTCATACAACTACTCTTTACAGTAACATGTGTTTTTACAATGCAGGACACCTGAAATTATTTGTAAAGCTGGGAAATGGGCCAAAAGTGAATTTTGCGAGACAAAAATGGTGACCATTTTGAAAATAGGCGAGCTTTTGAATCAGGAGTTTCTGTATTGGTGTTGAACAAAAATAACTTAAAATGGGAATTCTATCGACACACTTTTTAAAGCAAATGGTCCAAAAGTGAATTTCATGTTATTTGTATGTTATATGAATTTGTCATGTTAATGCCTTGTTTTAATGTCACCACCAAGGACTGGTGATATATTGTTATGGTCCCTGTTTTTTGTGACAGTGGTTGGTGGTTTGTGATCAGTGGGTGGCAGATGGTGGTTGGTATCTGCAACAAATTCTTAAAACTTCCAATAACTTAACAAATACTGTTTAAACTGCATGACTTCAGTTTTTTTCAAGTCATCTACAAGTTTTCAGAAGTTCAAATCTGACTTTATATTTAAGCTATGACCTTCAGTTACCTTTTCAAGGTCAAAAAAGGACAAAAAGGTCTTCTTTTAACCTTCTTCAAATTGACCAAATCTTTTTTCAAAATCATTTACAAGGTATCAGAAGTTCAAATCTGACTTTAGATTTGATGTGACCTTCATTGACCTTCTCAAGGTAAAAAAAGGTCAAAAAGTTATTTTTCAACTTGCGTCAAATTGTCCTAATTTTTTTTCAAAATCATCTTCAAGTTGTCAGATGTTCAAATCTCACTTTAGATTTGACCTTCATTGACCAAGGTTTTCAACTTGCTTCAATTTGACCAATTTATTTTCAAAATCATCCAGAAGTTCTCAAAAGTTCAAATCTGACTATAGATTTGACCTTCAATGACATTCTCTAGGTTGTAAAAATATTTGACTGTCCATGAACTTCTTAAGGTCAAAAAGGTATTTTTTTTAACTTGCTTCAAATTGACCAATTTGTTTTCAAAATCATCTACAAGTTTTCATAATATTGTGAGCAACAAGGTGGTGACATTTTGTCATGTTAATGCCTTGTACTATGTTTTGATTTCACAGTAATTGATATAGATAGCCTTTGTATGTTTTAATTTAAAATAAATGCAATTTCATTTCAGGAAAAAATGGCACAGAAATGAACACAAGGCGGTATGTACCCTACTATGAAACTTCTCTACTTCTATTACTATTTCTTACTTTACTTCTCATACCATCACAGAGAGGAAGAAATCAAATCATTCACCTAATCATGCCCTCAAATGACAAAAAGCTAATCTACCAGAGTGATTTGTTGGAAAATAATTTAGAGTAAAAAAGTATTCTAGATTCAAAGTTCCAATATTCCAAATAATAAAATTAATGTCACAGCCACAACTTTTTGTGATGGTGTTCTAAATTCGGCGTTTAAAGCAAATAGCAGGTGTTTTGCATGTTAATGCCTTGTTGTTTTCCTTGCTAGATCTTATTTTGCCTGTCTCCTCAAATTCCTAAGGATTTACTCTTGGAATTAGTCATTTATAAACATTTTCCATGCCTTTTTTGAAATATTCATTTTATTCTCTATTTTCTATAAAATCACAACTTCACTGAAATTGTTTTAGATCCTTGATTATGGAGCAAGACATTGGTCGATCTAATGAAAGTTTTGATGGTGGTAACCCTTATGAAGAGTCCCCTGGTACAGCTAGCAATGGCAATATCAATCCATATGGAGAGACTTCAGCAGGGAATAGAAATGCAAATGAAGATATTAATCCCTATGGAGACATAAACCCATATGGAGTGACATCTAATGGAAATGGTAATTTCAGTGAGAGACCCATTGATGTGGAAAACAAGCCTGGTAATGTCAAAGTTTATTCTTCTGTGTAACTGTTATCCTGTATGCCTTAATATCATATTTATGGGAACATTAATGTTAAATTATTTATTTATATTGTGATGCCATATATCTCATACATGTATTTTGATATTCATGTATATATGCACATTTATATACTAGCCTTCAAACATTTAACTCAATGTAAAGTCATATTACATCGTACCACATAAACAGTGAACAGTGTATTAAGGAGTGACATGCCACTACTTTATGACAAAGGAAGAGGTGCGATTAATTGGCAAATATCCCCATGGTCAAAATGAATCATTCTTATCTGTAACATGAAGAATAGAAGTCATTTAATACTTTTGAAAATATTAAAGTGCTTGGGCACACAAAGGCTGAGATAGGGGTCATTTCGTTCAGTAAGGTTGTATTGACTTACATGGGGCTGTGCACCATTGATTTAACATGAGGTTATCATCAGATCCCAATAGAGGCCATTGAATTCCATTGATTATCACAGAAATACCAAAAATACACCATGAGCTGAATCGATTGCAGTCTCAGTAATTTCACGATATGACACAAATGGTATATCTCATCAAATGTGCAAATATGAAGTTTGCAATCAGTTCAGGTTATACTTTAAATTAAAAGATTGTACATTCTTTCATCATCATTTTTTCCCTACAGAATGGTTATATAAAAATGCTCCAAAAACAACTTTTACACTTATGAAATATCATAAAACTTTGTAAAACAAAAGGTTATACTATTATATTTCATTATTTAGTAGCATATTTGGATAAGATGTAGGGATGTGTATGATGCAAATGGATTTTTATAGACACAAAAATACCTTAGTTTATCTTACTAGATTGAGCTGAACATACCTTTTAATTTGTGATTTTAGCTTGTTGGAATACATAATAATGATATAATGCTATACAAAATAATTATTGGTTCTCCCAAATGCTTGCAACATGATGTCAGTTTTATAAAATGTGAAATAAATGTGTATCTACACATTCAATTTTCGATGTGTGGCACATTTTGGTTATCTTGAGATGTAGCATTTCACAGTCCGCCGATATACAGTACATACAATGTATTGCACACATACATGTACCGAGTAAGTCATGCATGTTATCATGAACCTATACGTATCTTGATGTACAATAATCCACATGTTGATATCTTATATGTACTGTATTGGTCTGATAAAAATGCACTTTACGTTTTCAATATTTAAAAAATAAAATATATATTCAAAACTATCAATACCAGGATACCTTATGAGTAACCTCATGAATATGTATTTGTAATATAGAATATGCAGGCCCGTAGCCAGAATTTTCTAAGGGGGGGTTCACTTTTCCCCAAAAAATCTAGGGGGGTTCACTTTGGCAAATTTGGCCAAAAATCACTAAAAAAATAATCAGAATGGTGAAAACTGCATGATTTTGAAAGAAATTTTGGCCAGGGGGGGGGGGGGGTTCGCCCGAACCCCCCGAACCCCCCCTGGCTACGGGCCTGATATGTTACATAGCTAAACTTGCAAACATATGGATTATTGTTTAGCATGTGTTTTGACTGTCCTCTCACACCGATCTTAGCCAAACTTTGGTTGAGCCCATTTATAGTGCCTGAGTACAGACACCTGGGCACTCTTTATAGTTTCGCACACACTTACATTATGTAAGGTGGGTTATAATGCTGCTTATTTTTCATGAAGCCACTCAGTAAAATTAGGATTTCTCTGCACCCTGATGTTCAATCAACATCATTCGAGTATCTATGTGTTCCTGACACATTAGGGCATCCGGTAATGACAACGTCTACCTAGAGTTTGCACGGGAAATTGACCCGGAAGACCGGAAGAATGCAGATTTCATGTAATGACGTTCATGTAAACAAGTAAAGTACATATAATCCCCATTTAAAATACTGGACTACTTGACATGTAATAATATGTTCAAACTGAAATATAGAAAATTTTCAACATAGCAATTGCTTCCTTATTCTGTATGCCCCTCTAACTGCTTAATAAGGCAATGTATCTTCAAATAAAACCTTAGCCAAGTAGATTAGAGTCTCTGGAACACTTTTGTAAATAGTTTTCACAAGCAATTTTGTTTGTGAATGTCAAATTTTGTCTTCCCGATTTCAGTCATATGTTAAGTCAATTTCGCGTGCAAACCTTGGATAGACATTGTTAATCCCGAATGCACAACACCTAGATACTTCAATGAGGTTGCAGAGAAATCGTAATTTTACTGAGTGGCTTCACGAAAAAAAGAGGCTATACACCTCGTTTTAAATCAAACAGTGAATGGATGGATAACACTAACATTGTATACACTCATTACATTGTGCAATTTCTGAGTTTAAATACAATTTATTTTGATTTATTTAGAGATTCATGCATGAATCCAGTGCCTCAGCAAATGATAAATATGACATCATTTTTGATGTAAACACTATTTGACCAAAAAAAATTTGACCAAATTGCCGTAAAATAGTGGCTGGGCACTCCTTAAATACTAACTTTTATTAGATCCAGCTGCACTTTATGCTCAACCTGACAAGAGTAGCAAAAACAAGAAATCTGAGAAAACACCAGATGATGTTGCAGCAATGTATGCCCAGCCTGATAAAGTGAAAAAAGGACCAAAGAAAAATGAAGGTAAATTGGAATTGAAATTAAAGTGAACTCAAATAAGCAATGTTTCTCTTACAAGTACACTATGGCTATATTATACTCAAACTGAGGGATATATGGGGTCAATCACAATTGGTATTGGTATTGTTTTTCTGATTTGTGCCTTGGAAAATTCAAAATGGCTGCCTAGCAGAAATTCACTGTTACTTACGTATATTTCAATTAGGTTGGTATTCATTGATATTCATGCATGTTTAAGAGATTTGCTTAATTACATTGAGGAACTATTTTTGACAGCTTTTTCAATTTTCAATTCATACAAATTAATAGTTTGGAAGTCTTTGCAACTTTAATGACTTACTGTTTTTAGCTGATCTAGTTTAATGGATCCTTACCATTACAATGTTATATTTCAGATGCTAGTGTTCCAGTAGAAGCTCTTTATGCACAACCAGAAAAGAAGAAAAACAAAAAAGGTGAATTTTCTTAATTGCAACAATGCAAAATATAAAGATTCTTTTCTGTTTATTTTTATTACCTATCTCAATCTTCCTTCTTTTTGGTTTGTTCTTCACTAATATAAGTTCTAACAATTATTTATTCTAGCATTATTTTGCTTTATGGACTTTAGCAATAGGTTTGCAGATGGATGTTGACTCTTTGGAACTCATATGCACTTTGAGACTAGATTTTGGTAATGCTTCAACATTCAAGAATGAATGCAATTCTGTATGCCAAATATGAGTTTCAATATGGAATATTGTTTTTGTTTCTTCTTTATTAGTTTTTTTTACTAATCTCTAACATTTTGCTGTATGTGTTCAGAAAGTGTGGATGCAAATACTGAAAGACCAAGTATAGAGGATGGTAAGTTTTCAGAAGTTCAAATCTGATTTTATATTTAAAGTGTCTGTTCGATGCTCATGGGGTCAAAATACAGTTTATACACGTTCTAAATGAAGTAAATACCACTAACATGTCAAACCAGGTACCGTTCTTGTAAATATTTTTATGTGAAATTTGGTGTTCAAAATCGGGAACACAATGTCAAATGCCAATCATGACATCACGAACAGAACAGGTTTTGAATAATTTTTTGGAGTTTATAATCTCCAAACGTGCTTATACATGTAAAGTGTTAGTGTAATTGAGTGCAACTTCATTCAATGAAGTGAGGAATTGATTCAGAGATGACTACTTTGGAGCCACGTTTTTTCCTACGATAAACAAAAATATAATACCTAAATTAGAGCTCCCAACCCAGCGGGGCGTTTTCACATAGCTAGTCATGCAGAATTACTTTTTGGCCAGTCAGAACACAATATAGAAAATAAACACTCTCAGTTGATAGTATTACATAACTCAAGCTGTCTAAAATCTTGTAACCAAAAGGCATTGAACCATGAGGTGATTTCGGTAAGCGTTACTCCTTTCTGGCCAATCAGAACACAGTATAACATGAACACTTTTGAATTTACATTCCAGTTGCATAACGCATTGCCGTTAGAAATCCATAACCGGTTCTGTTCGTGACATCATGTTTTTTCCCGGGAAATCTTATTTTGCCACTAATGAACAAACGGAATGAGTTGAGAGTCTGTTGGAATACTATTTTTACTTATCAATATCTGTTTAATCTATTGTAATGAGAAAAAATAAACAGAAATTACCGAATTAGCACTTTAAGATTTGACCTTCAATGGTCAAAGAAGGTCAAATCTTTAATATGAAGTCAGATTTAAAGATTTGAAGATTAAAAGTCAGATCTGACTTTAGATTTTAGATTTCACCTTCAATGACCTTCTCAGTGTAAAAAAGGTGACTTGCTTAAAAACCTTAACTAAGGACAGTGAGTCTAATTGAATGTTATCATTTTTCCATATTTAATTTTAGAAATAAAATGTGAGCAATTTCTCAAGGTTTGACAACTACATAAAATATTGGCTTTTACTCAATCCACTTTATTGTCGATGTCTAAGTTACATATCATTTTGCATATTTTGAAATATTTTTAGGTATTTTAGAATAAGCAATACAGATAATTCATAATGTATAATTATGGTCTTACAGGTGCAAAGCCTGTTGAGGCATTGTATGCAGAACCTGACAAATCAAAGAAGAATAAAAAAACGAGTAAGTTTTACATTCACAATAGCTGGGCAAGGTGTGTCCAATTTCAGTCAATCCGAATACACTATTCATACAACTGCATATTGTTATTCAATAATCAACTCAAGGTAACTAATGTTAAACAGTTGTCAAGGTGACATTTTCATGAACTTTATTTACTGTATTTCTATTACTCATATTGTTTGTACCCTTTTTTTTCATGATTTAATACAACCCCAGTATTCCACTAAGTTGTGTTTAGCATACATTAATTATCCCATCGAACAAAGTTCGGAGGGATATAGGGAACGCCTCCGTTCGTCTGTCCGCCCGTCCGGGCAATAACTCAAAAACCATTGGCCCAATTTTGTTATATTTTGTACACATATACCCTATGGGGGTAGAATTTCTGCTCGAAAGCCGATTTTCAAAAATGTAGATATTAAAGAAGCACATGGCAGCCATCTTGAAATATGGAGGCCCTTACTCGTTATTCTACAGTTTTTGCTGTAACTCGAAAAGTAGTGGAGCGATTTTGTTCATATTTGGTATGTGAATACTATAAGCATGGCACACTGTCTAATGACACTTTTGGTAGAAGGGGGCCATTTTGAAAAATGGCCGCCATTTTAACATATTTTACTATAACTCGAAAAGTAGTGGAGCGATTTTGTTCATATTTGGTATGTGAATATTATAAGCATGGCACACTGTCTAATGACCCTTTATAGAAGGCAGGCATTTTTGTAAAATGGCCACCATTTTGAAAAATGGCCGCCATTTTAACATATTTTACTATAACTCGAAAAGTAGTGGAGCGATTTTGTTCATATTTGGTATGTGAATACTATAAGCATGGCTTACTGTCTGATGACCCTTTTGGTAGAAAGCGGCCATTTTTCAAAATGGCTGCCATTTTAACGTATTTTACTATAACTTGAAAAGTAGTGGAGCGATTTTGTTCATATTTGGTATGTGAATAGTATAAGCATGGCACACTGTCTAATATCACTTTTGGTAGAAGGTGGCCACTTTGAAAAATGGCTGCCATTTTGAAAAATGGCCGCCATTTTAACGTATTTTACTATAACTCGAAAAGTAGTGGAGTGATTTTGTTCATATTTGGTATGTGAATACTATAAGCATAGCACACTGTCTAATGACACTTTTGGTAGAAGGCGACCATTTTGAAAAGTGGCTGCCATTTTAACAGATTTAATACTATAACTCGAAAAGAAGTGGAGCGATTTTGTTCATATTTGGTATGGGAATACAGTAAAACCTGCAAACAGGGAATGCTCTTCGGACTGGAGGAAAGTTTCCTTGTTCAGAGGTTTTCCCTATAGAGAGGGGCCGCTCAGAAACTCAGAATAGCCAAATAAGCATTTTTGTATATATTTGGGCATAATTGATTTTACCAATGCTGACTCCATACTTGGTTGCTAGACCTTGTTGTGACCTCTTGGAAGATGTATGAAGGTCTCCCACCTCCCTCCTTTAGCTGAGGGTAAGGAGCATTCTCCCAATGTTGATTTTAGCCGCTGCTGCTGGCGTATGATGATGTCTAGTTGTTGTAATTATTGATAGATTTGGCTCAACATGACAAATGTACTTATCTGTTATCTCCATAAAACAATTGTGTCAATCCCTAGATTATCACAACTAAATGTAGAATGTAAATTATGTTTGTTGAAAGGAAGAATTAGTGTCATGATAATAAGTAACAAACAGATTAGTATTAGTTTTAAAATATATCAGGGTAATTAACAGTGGGTGGGATGCTACATCTTGCAAACAATTGGCTTATCTTAATCTCAATCATATTTATCCAAGCTTTTTAGAATCAGATATTGGCTTAGACTTTCACACCTCTGAAAAATAATGGAATATACAGTGTCACCAATATTCCTTGTTCACAGGTGAATTTTCATAATTTGCACCAAAATAGTGTTCCTTGTTCCCTGTTCACAGGTTATCCCTACAGAGAGGGTCGATTAACATGTAAGTCAATGGAAAAATATTTGGTTCTTTTGAAAAGCATTCCTTGTTCATAGGTTTTCCCTACAGAGAGGTATTCCATCAGACAGGTTTTACTGTACTATAAGCATAGCACACTGTCTAATGACACTTTTGGTAGAAGGTGGCCATTTTGAAAAATGGCTGCCATTTTTGCTATATACTTAGTTTGTAAATATGCCAGCCATGGCTGTTCGATGGGATTTTCTATGCTTTGGCATTGCTGTTGTCTAGTTTTGCTCAGTTTTACTAGCATAGATTTAGCACACATTTTAGGATAGATCTAGCATACTGTACATTTTCTGTGATCTTCCCAGGATTTAATTGAATTGCGCCTGGCCCTGCTTTCTAATTTCACCTGCCTTGCACCTGTCCTGTTAACTAAACCCTCCCTCTTCATGCATGTTTCTATCAGATAATAAAGGTTGGGTTAACAAAATTGGGTTAGTATATCTCGTGAGCGGTGAGACTTGACAAAAATCTTCCCTGCTAGAAAACTTAATGAGGTCTGATTTCTTAACTTTTTGAGAATATGCTAACTGTATTAGTATATTATGTTTAACAAGTCGAAACTTTAATGATACCCAAACCCTATACTAATTTCATACTAAGATAGTACAATGTACATGTATGCTAGGTTGTCTAGCATCTGAATCCTTTACCAAAATTAGATATACTAATTTATTAGCATATGCATGCTTGCTGATCTAGTATGCTTCTTAATAATTCATGCTAGGTATACTTATAAATCAGTACACTTTAGCATATCTATGCTAGCTTTAGCATGAATTAGTTTATGCTAGTAGCATAAATTAAATAATTGAAACATACTCATCAATGCTAAATCAATAGAGAGCCCTGTACTCCAGAAATTCTGGCCATGCTAACCTATGCTAATTCTATCACAACGGGAAACACTATTTTGTAAGCACTACTAAGAAAGAATACTTTATGTGTTATCCATAAGTAATAATCAAGACTAACTACTAATTCTCAGGAATAAAAAGTTCACTCTATTGAGACGATAGATAGAGCTTATCCTCGGACCAGTTACGTCTTATCCGTGTGTCATATGACTACTGTGTTAATTAACTAAGTAAAGTATTCCAATTAAAAAGTGTTGTATGTTTGCATGCAGCAAGCGTTTAATAATTCTTTGCATATATAATATTGTCCATAAAATAGTCTGATACATATATACTATTGTCCATTAAAGATCGGTCTGATAATTACAAGTAATTCATGTTTATTTTATTCTTTACGAATTTATGATAAGTGTATAATGTTCAATCATACAAATCGCAGTCAGTGATTGTTCTCCACACTCACCCCTCCCCCTTCCTCACATGAACTATTTTGTAAAACCATTGACAGTGTGGAAAGGATTCTTACACTCGAGAGTCAAGGGGGGGGGGGGCAGTTATAAAAATAGACAAGGCGATGATTCAAATTGGACAATTTTCAAAACTGCTCAACATGGTGAAACTTCACGTTTTTAAAGAATGCTTGCCCGGCGAGTGGTTTGCTCTGGATTGCGAGAGAACAAAAGCTTTGAATTAGGATTTTTCCTAATACTATCATTAATCTAAACAACTTTTTAAACCGTCTCTGATTACATATCATGCCAATTAATACCATTATTGTGTTGACAGGATTAAATATGACATCTTTGGAATTATCATTTAATGAACTCAATAGTCTAAATGATAATAAGTTCATAATTTAGTCTTGGCTGACTAGTCTTGCATCATCAGAGTTGGATTGCAAATACCTCCCTAAATCGCATATTTAAAATTTACAAGTGTACACTAAAGTTTAAAAGGAAGACTATAGTGTCCCGTGAATTCATTATAATTATCTTAGACAATAGTGAAGCGGTACAATCATGGGAGTGTTAATTAATAGAAATGCAAGTTTGATTTAAAATAACTCCTTTGGATCAAATATTTAAATTCTACTCGAATGGTTTTGGTTTTATAACGGGGATATTGCTCGAGCTTGAATAACAAATAAAAGGCATGTTCTTATTCCTGTATTCTGTCCTTTGATTGTGTATTAAGTTGAGCTGCACGCCAAACGTTAAGATTGTTAAAACGCTTAAAATAAAACTTTATTCTTCTCAATTTACATAAAAATGAAACAGATTAGATTCGAATCTCAGTCACACCAGCCACTGGTCAAAGGAAGTACAAATATCTATATTAATCAAATGTCTGAGATTTGACAACTGTCTGGGATCCAATGTAAATTTTATTGAATCAAACTAAGAAAAGTATAACGATGAATTTTAAACGTTTAGAGGAAAAAGTCAAATATGCATTGTAACCCTAAAAATAATTCATTAAAGTGTCGTACACATTTCATAACATTTAAATAAATAAAACAAATAAAGCACAACCCTAATGCCCTAATGAATTCATATCGGCGCTAAACGGCCCTTGCAATAAAAACGCATCGAAGCAGGGAATGCTTGGAAAATTCTTCCGAGACTGACTTTTTTATAATTCCTATGAAATAATCAAATAACCACGCGATCTTTTTCCCTGGGTTTTACTTTATTTTAGATTTACTAGAAAAATGTTTATATGATGATTGCGTTTGCTTCTCACGAGTTCATTGAAAAGTTCAGTGTAAAACTTTAGAGATCAAAAGACTAATTAGGCACCTGATTGCGAAAGTTTGATTGCATTTCGATCGCCTGGATTTTACAAACGTATTGTTTAAGTAGCGATCGTGTTCTTGGGATCTTGATAACTTCCTATTTTAAGTTTTGGGTTGAAAGCAATGAGTATGTCGGACTTTCTCAACTCCACATAATGAAACAATATCCCTTTATATTAGTCCAATCGGAATTTGCATAAACATACCAGTTTCTTATTGCAAAAAGAACTGTAATTAATAGCCTACATAAAAGCATCATGATAAATAAAACATTAAAGCATATATAAAGCCTATTGTTATCAAAATCCATAAATCCTCACCATATAAATATAGTTTTATTGATGACCAAAAACAGATATCAAGGGCGTAGCCAGCTTTCAGTCAGGGGGAGGGGTGCGATTGCCAAAAAGATTTCGGTTTTCAGTCAGGAGAGTATGATTGTGGCATTTTAATGCTCCTTTCTTCTTCTTTCTCAGCGTTTTATTTTTATTGTTATGGGGGAGGTTGCGATCGCACCCCCCCCCCCTCCTGGCTACGCCTATGGATATTTTGGCAACTTTCACGTTTACCCCGCCCCCTAATAATTTTTGCACCCCCTCTAAATATCAGACCCGTCAGGCGTTGAGGCATGGATCAGGATACCCTGACTCACAAGCTGTGCGACTTCTGTGCAACCGCTACACCTATATATATTCTCGGGGAAAACGCTTTTAGAAAAATTGTCAAATATGGTCGTGTGTGGGCAAACACGGAGGATGAGGAGAGGGGTGCGTGCATTGCGTGCGACCCTTCATCAGTTGTGTACCTTAATTTGTATGAATTTCTTCCGAATAGTTATGCTAGAGGGGTTCTGATATTTATTTCTGTTTTCAAATGAAATAATTTCACCCTTGCCCGACTGACTTGTAGATAATGCACGAATCAAATAGCATGGAGATCAGATAATCAGATTGATTCGTATTTTCGCAATCAGATGAATTAACTTATTGTTTTCTCTGATTAAAAGGCGGTTTGAAGCTACTTTTACAGGATTTGTAAATTCGCAATCAGACTGGCTTATTTTAATATTTAGTCAGTGCAAGAGCAGGGGACTATTAATGTAGAAAATTGTCTTGATTTCGACACTAACTGAATAATTTATCGCAATTGTTAAATACGCAAACAGAAACAGGTTTAAAAATGAGAATAGAGGCAAAAAAGTCTATTCATAAAATGTAATTAAAACCCGGGAATTAAAAGCAATTTTAGACTGTTAGATGATCTCTTCTGTAATCAATTGCAAGGTGATGTTGGTACACTTCCGCCGTTAGAAAAACAAAGACCAAGACAAAGACTATATAGCGATTAATCCTTTTGTAATCATTAAATGTTGGATTCTTATTATTTTGTTGGGCAATGTTCAGACTTCTGACCAAGATTAAATCATTTATGTTTGTATTTAAAAAATAGTATTTCAATCAGACAGACGTGTTAATGAGTTCGAAAAATACATTTGTCCATTTCCTCTCAAGAAGTTATCAAAGGTAATCAAGTCGATTTGTTTGAGTGTTTAGCATTGTTTTTCATAACTTGACGCTTCCATGAACAGAATGACTTTGAAATGAGTTTTTATAATTTTAGCTTTTATACGGACATGCTTATTGTATATTTCTATATGAACGTTGTAGTTATGTGATGTAACATCGCCCCCCCCCCCAAATTACAGGTATACAAATTTTGATCGGAATGCATTAACTTGCAATTAAAAGCAATTTTAGACTGTTAGATGATCTCTTATGTAATCTAGGTGATGTTGGTACACTTCCGCATTTACATGTATAAAATCATGTGAACAACATTATCGTGGAAACTCCCATCTTCATTCTCATAATGTCTTACAGCTATTTCGCATGACATAATCCTAAACAACATATGGACATAACGATAATATTGCAGAACTGAGCGAAAAGAAAGGTGGAACAAATCAGATTAAGATATTTTATTTTTGAAATGCACAAAGGGCAACAGTTGAAAAGTTAAAGGCGTTTTGAAATAGATTGTGCTTTTATATGATCCCCTTCTATAATACCCTACCCTTTGCATTTGTTCGACTTCACTTCTTAAATGAGAGTTTCGTCTTCTCGTAGTTTATAATTAGACTCTACACGCAGCGTAATACTGCCCCTATTATCCATGTTCAGGGGCGTAGACAACTTCCTTCAAAATAGAGCTTGAAGCTTCTATCTCTTCTTCTATTTCTTGGTTCTATTTTATTGGTTATGCACTGCAACCCCCCCCCCCCCCTGGCTACGCCTATGCCTGTCGAGAGACAAAAGGGGCAAAAAGACTGTTAAAACAAGTACTTCCAATAAATACTTTTACAGTTATATGTGTTTATCAACGACCCTACTTGTCAAATTCATAGAAACGAAAACTTAATTCTTTCATTACACGAAAACCTTTGAAATATCTACCTGATTCGCTGGAATAGTCATTAGTCACATTATTTCAGAGCAAACAATTAGCATCTACTATAATATTTATTTTTCTATCCGATATACAACTGATATTGATATCTTTCCCCGGACAATGTGTTATCTCATGATCCGTTGACATCATCAACAATTTGATTTACCACAAGAGAGTAACCAACATTCCTTAATTAAAAAGTTGACATTTCTTGAATTTTATAGCAAAAACACTATGACACAATAACATCGAGGCAAAATCAAAACATGGTGTGGAAATAAAAGGCATACAAAATGGCCATTAAAATGAAATTCTTGTTCATAAAAGTATCAACTTTATCACATTGGACGCAAATACAAAGTATAGAATAAATAAAAATAACGTCTTCCCAGAGATTACAATACGGATCAGTAAGTCAACAAATCTAACTGTTAAATAAACAAACTTAGCCCATGTCTGCAATTGTTCGTCTGCTGGTCAGAACTCGGTATCCTCTTCGGATAATCAATTTCTGTGACTACTGATGTCTTAAATAATTCATAAAGACGACGTTGTTTTTAAATAAGGATCTTTAATCTACAAACTGTAAATAAATAGCGTAAACCCGGGATCGTAGACAACAACATTGATACCTTGCTGTCCTCTGTTAAATCACGAAACCCGTTTCCCTTAAATTTTTTACTAAGAGACTTATACATGCATAAGTTATCTATCAAATCATTTTTCTTTAAATATTAAATGTCGTCTAAGTTTGTTTTAATGATTAGTCTTCATCTAGATTCATTAATCATCACGATATTTATATATACATATTATTTAATAGACCTATCATATCACGTCCGTAGTTACAAAGTCAACTACATATTATTAATGCAATAGAATAAGACTCAATAATTAAAAAAATAAACCTCAGTATTCGGGCCTAAAAAACACAGATAATTGTATCAATACCAACGGGTAAGCTCAAATAACCTTCCAAATAAGTGTATCAATAATCAAGGATTGCGAGTACTAAGGACCGGGTAAGATGGTTGTAACATTGGTATTGCTAGTTATTAAACACGATTTTGTCTTGTGTATGCTAAAGCTAGTATAGATTAGCATACATTTTTCATGCTAATTTCATACTAAATAATGGCGAGGGAAGATCTCTGATCAATAAAGAATTTAATATATGGCACCACGTTGCATCATAGGTGTTTTTCCCAAAAGGAGATAATACTGTTATACTACTCTACTATTTCCCAGTTATTTCTATCATTTAATGTCCAAAATGGCAAGGTATTTGATAAAATATAACTTGCTCTGTGGGATTTGCTACTCTGGGAGTTTTTGTCTAGTTACAACTTCATTCTTTGATGGCCTATTAACATAAAATCTAGGAATGAACTCTATCTGTATGTCATAATAAGAAAGATGATTTGACACTTTATATGCACTTCCATTGTCCAAAGACCTGTTCAATATACAGGGCATTCATTAAGTTTGTGCCCTTGCATTTCCTTTATTAATTATGCATTATGAATTTATGAGTCATGGTGATTTAGATTATGCTCTACCATGATATAATATACGAGGGGTGATCAATAAGTAATGGACGCTTTTTTACGCATATGCTTTTTATAGACCAATCCCTTCGATTTTCTTACCGGTGATACATCATTCAATTATCTATCAACTCTGAAGATTTGAAGACAAAATATATAATACATGTTGATATATCCTCATTTCCGTGAAGGAGGTACAGGTACCCCGGGACCGACATTTACGTCACATATTCTGAAGCTATTTTAGCTTGTTTAACACGCAATGCAGTTGAATGCAGGCTGAACAAAACAAACCATTATGGTCATGAATTACCCCATTTTGTGATGCCATAGTTGATTTTGAATATTTTATCATCACTATGTGGTATTCATGCCACATTCATTTCACAGGGCCCTCTAAATAGGTTCCATCAAGTGCTACATGTACACAATTCCTCATCATCTTAACTCAAGATTGTGAGACGAGGCTGAATCGATTCTCTGACATGGTAGCAAGATGCAGTTGCACGGGTTGTTTTATTTAATCAATGACAATAAACCTGCGTCCTTTCTCTATAGAAATAAGTAGTATAGAAATAAACAAGTCACATGTGAGCAGATGTGGATAATATAGTGCATTGGCCAGGGGTTCAATTTTGAGGTCCAGGGATTTTGCTTTCTGAACATTTTGAGATCTGTGGGCAGGTGAATTGTCCATATGGAGTAGGGTCTTCCCTTCTCTCACCACACCTTTCTTCCAATATGCTTTCTCAAATTAACCTGCAAACCCCTTCCGTACAACACATTACAATACTTTCTGTTTATGCGTTACCAGTCAGCAGAAAAATTCAAACAATACAACACTTGTTGCATAAAAAGGTTCAAATCTAACTCAAATTTACCACACTGGCTAAAATTACTGAATATGTGACGTAAATGTCGGTCCCGGGGTACCTGTACCTCCTTCACGGAAATAAGGATATATCAACATGTATTTTATATTTTGTCTTTAAATCTTCAGAATTGATAGATAATTGAATGATGTATCACTGGTAAGAAAATCAAAGGGATTGGTCAATAAAAAGTATCTGTGTAAAAAAGCGTACATTACTTATTGATCACCCCTCGTATTATATCTGTTATCATATATCCGATCATGATGCATTAGAATAGGTTTAATTAAGACAACTTATCTACTTTTTCAATCTAATTCATGATACATATTTAATAAACAGTACCAATTGCATGTGATGATATAATCATATATAGATGTTATATTTTAGCACAACCAGCTGATCCCATATATGCAGAATCTGAGAAAAAGAAGACTGGAGGTAATCATTGGCTTATATCATACATAACATATAATCAATTGAGCTGAGAATGGAACAGATAAAACCAATATATTCTGTTAAGATCATTGTTATTGATGTATGAATCATTTCCATACATTTCAACTTATCAAAATTAAATGCATCATACTGGTACATCGCTCTCCGATTTTTACAAAGGATGATGCCAGGAATGAATCTGGATATTGACTTAGACAATATTGAAAATTGTAATGTCTGAAAAACCAACTCAATCAAATACTAACTCAACTAAATCCTTTCAAGAATGATCATTTGATTTATGTCTTGCCTAAAATTTGACCAATTGTTACTTAACCTCTTGAATCCCAGGCTCTAAAATCGGTTGAAACCAGAGATTTTTTCATTTTTGCCACCTTTTGACATTATACTACATACCTATACAACTTCAGATGCTCAATTTAGTAAAATTAGACGGCAGAGATGATTCATTTCTACACATTTTAAAACAATTTTTATGTAAATTGGATGAAAATTGTTCAAATAAGAGCAATTTTAATGAAAAATTTTGTGACAGATTTTCTCGTCACTCTGGGTTTCAAGGTCATTTCTGAGGTGACGAGAAATTCTGTCACTCTAGGTAGTCAAGAGGTTAAGGCAGAATATAAGAGTATAGAGTAAAACTATACATAGCTAAATATACAAGACAACAAACATTTCAAAAAAGAGTTTTGATAATTTATACTTTCTCTTTGTATTTTATTTTTTTCATTTCAATGTTATGGTTTCAGGTAAACCAGTTCTTGCAAAGAAGCCTGTAGCTGATAAACCAAGTGTGTCTGACAAACCTAATATTAAAGCCAAACCTACAATAAGTAACAAACCTCCAACTCCTACAAAACCAACAATGTCACATCCATATGTGAATGTGCAAAAAACAGCTGTTCAACCTGGTATGTATTGTAGTACATGTAAGTCATTGAAGATACAAATAATCACTAAAAGGTGTATGGTGCCCCATATAACAATAAAAAAGATCATATGAATTAGCAATTGAAGATGACAAATAAGTATATGAAAGGAAAAAATCTTAGGAACTATTATATTAAGTAATAAAGGTTTTGTTCCTGAGATTTCAGCATGTTACAAAGCTGTTTTGCCTTCTCCCAAAGTCCCCGTTCCCTGATAAAGTTGGTGTTCATGCTTAAGATATTCTTTGAGCCTACTATCAATTGGGGCTGGATCTGGCTTCGAATCTTTGTCTCAAAACGCAACATAATGATGCAACAAAAATTGAAAAAGTAGGGGTGGAAGTGGTTGAAAATCAGGATAACATTTCAGAAAAAACATATGGATGGGTTGTTTGCATCTTACCTGTCCCTGTCCCAAAGGCGAAATTATTTTATCAGTTCTAAGAGTGGTTTTCCTGTAAGTAATGCATTGACCTAACATATGGACCTGCTTGATTTCTCATAAAATAGCCAAAAAGGACTGCCCAAAATATGTTGCGATACTTTCCCTCCTCCTTTAGTTTTTGAAATATTGAGTGATAATTATCCCAACGAACGAAGTTCGGTAGGGATATAGTGAAGCCCTCCGTCCGTCAGTCCGTCCGTCCATCCGTCCGTCCGGAAGATACTCAAATACTGGTTGACTGATTTTCTTCATATTTAGTGGAAAGATGTATATTAGTGAATAGTTTTACGCAAAAAAAACTACCCCCAGGGGCCGTGTATGGGGGGTCAGGAAAACAGAAATCTTTACTAATTCTTAGATCTTTCTGAAGTATAACTTTATTATAGTCAAATGAAAGGCAATTAAGAGTAGATTGTAAATATTGTATCTTTTTTCTGATTCGAGCCTCGTAAAATTCAAAATGGCCGTCTAATGTACGATTTCGCAATAATTTTTCGATCCCTTCAAAGTATGGCTATATTATACTCAAATTGAAGCAATTTTGGAGTTGATCACAATTATGGTATTATTTTTCAGATTTGTACCTCAAAAAATTCAAAATGGCTGGTTTGCAGGAATTCGCAATTCTAAAATCTAAATTTTTCAGTTTTAACCAAAGTAATGAGTATAATTGATTGGAATTCGGTAATTGATATTTTGTTCGTTGGGATTTGCTACTCCGCGGAGTTGCCATTTTCTAGTTTGTAGCTTTGAACCACTGATTTACATGTTTGAGTTCATTGTTGAGGATTTTACAAAGGGTATTTAAATTTTGATGACCCACTCAAATATAAGTGTCATTCTGCATACAAAATCATGTCAAGTTTTTCAGAACAAAGATGATTGCAATGCCAATAACTGTACCAATACTAATTGGCCTGGTTTCAACGGCCATCATAGAGCTTTCAATATCATGGTTTAATTATTCAAAATAATTTAAAAATTGTTCTTGTTTTAAACATACTATTAGGTATTTTGAGACTTTCACACATTTTCTCTTTAATTATCCCACCCAACAAAGTTTGTAGGGATAAAAAGAAGCCAAGCGTCCTTTTGTTCATTCACCCATCCTTTCGTTTGTTCGGGTGATAACTCAAATATGTGTTTACAGATTTGATTCAAATTTTATAGGCTTATGTCTTGTGGGTGTAGGACCTCGGCTCAAGATGAACTTTAAATATGGCCACTCAATTAAAAATGGCCACCATTTTTTGTAAAAAGTTGTTATTATTAAAAACTTGCTTTATGGATTTGGTTCAAATACTAAGGCCTAATTTCAAAATGGTCACCGGTTAAAACATAATCTATAATAACGCTAATACCAATGAAAGATTTTTAAGAATATAAGTTCTGAGGATGGGGTATTTCAAAGCATCTTTTGTGTGTTACGTCATAGTTTGGGATTTTGGAGCTTTGCTTTTCTTATAATTGGTTAGACTCATATGTCACTTAGCTAGCTGTGTTTTGTACCAGAGTTTCATTCTAATAGGCCCATGAGTTTGAAAGAGGGTTAAAGCAGATATGAAATGGTATTTTTAACCTAAAGGAATCAATATAATTTTTTGATAGATGTATTTGGACATGTTTTCTCATCAGTAGTGTGAGAACTATTTCACTCTAACGATCGTTATAGCTGCTTAATAAGCAATATTCGAATTGGTTGTGACGTTATTGGCCCCCACGTGATCTCTCACTGGTCCCCACGTGGCCCGTTTTGGTCCATTAGATCATGACGTCATAATGCCAAAATGTTTTGTTATTTGTTTACACAACAATCCTATGGTTGCCGTGACGTTGTGATTACTATGGAACCAATAAACCAAAGCTATATTTTGTATATGACGTTACTAATCACGTGGGGGCCAATTTGATTTATCAGTTAGTTTTATTTCGTTATCTATGACCGTTAGCAGTTATCTAACATTTCTTTCATAATGGCTATCGTAAGAACTCTACGGTGGGTTTACAATGGAGAAAACCGCATTTTTGTAGCTGCAAGTTGAGAAAAGCTATTTCAGTTGTCCTTTAAGTAAAATAATTCAAAAAACTTTCAAAGTTTTAAATGAAGAAGAACCAAGTATCATACTGATAAATATGATGCCTTGTTAGTGTATTAATGAAAAACAACCCTAGTTATCCTTTTCTGTTTCAGAAGGGGAGTATGCAGAAGTTGGAAACCCTAAGAAAGCCATTCCAGCTACTAGCCTTGGAAATGCTGGACATATTCCAGATGGTGAAAACCCATATGGAAACTCTGGTAACATTCCAGATGGTGAAAACCCATATGCAAACTCTGGCCATATTCCTGCTGGTGATAATCCATACCAGAATTGGGAACTTCCTAACACTGAGCCGAATCCTCCTCCACCCCCACCAGATCCAGTAAGTATGATTTCAAATGCATCGAAGATAATGAACAATTATGATTTAATTTGTTAAAATTTTTTGATTATATAATATTTACATATATTTATTTTTATGTAGACATATAGAACAGTAGCACCCTAAAATTTAAATGCTAGGTGCGTCTAAATATATTAAATCACATACTGTTAACTATATCTAGTAAAAAGATCACACATGAAAAACATACAAATTATACATAAATAAATAGGCCTTTCCAATACACCCTGCCCTCTTTCACCACACTGAAGAAAAACATATTTGTTGGAAAATGCTCACCTGTCTAATCCTGATTTAAATTGGGAGAAATCCCGATTTTTTTATTGCCCATTCCGATTTTTTTCAAAATCCTGATTTTCAAAAATCCAGATTTTTATCCTGATTTTAAGGAAATATCCAGATTTTTTTCGAAAAATACCCAGATTTTAAGAAAATATTCAAATTTTTCGCAATATATCCATACCTGCCAACCTAAGACCAAAAATTTGCGGTAGTTTTCTTTAAATTGCGGTCCTTTTTAAAATGGAAACTTTGGAAAAGTGTGGTATTTTTACGGTAGATTTTGAAAAAATGCTGGATTTTTGCAGTAGATTTTGAAAAATGCAGTAGTTTTCCAGTAGATCTTGAGAGAATATGGTAGTTTTTGCGGTAGATATTTGAAAAATCTGCATTTTCGCGGAAGATTTTGAAAAATGTGGTAGTTTTACAGTAGATTTTGAAAAAATGCTGTTGTTTTTGCGGTAGATTTTTGAAAAAAACTAGTTTTTCGGAAAATTTATTAAAATGCGGTATATTAAAATGCGGTAGTTTTTGTGAAAGATTTTGAATAAATGCGGTAGTTTTTGCGGTAGATTTAAAAACTGATTTTGTGTAGATTTTGACACACTTCAATGAAGTATGTTTTTCTAACTAAGCATTCATGACACTCTTTCATTTTTTTTATTTTATTTTTTTATTATTTTTTTTCTATTTATTTTTTTTTATTTCAATTTATCAAGTACAGTTATACAATGTTTTTACATACATATAGTACACAATAATTTCACATGACTTGTATATAGCTCTTGTTCTAACAGTATTCTAAATTTGGATGTTGTCCATATTTATACTTGCTAATACAGTTTTTTGTTATTAATACAATATTATTTACATAATTCTCAATATATTTTTTCTTATTTGTATATTTAAGCAAAATTTCCCTTTCTGTTAATTTTATAGAGCATCCAAATTTTGCATTTATTTTGTTCATTATATCTTTCAATATATGTTTTACCTTTTTACAAGAGATGAAGAAATGAGCATATGAGTTTTCTTCATTTCTGCAAAATTCACAGTTGTTTGAGTTTGTCCCTTCTATTTTCCATTTAGATAGATGAATATTTGTGGGATATACCCTATGCAATATTTTGTACTGTAAGCTCTTTAATCTTGGTTCAGCAATATTTTGAATCATTTTCCAAATATCAGACCAATTAATATTTTGATATTCATTATTCCATCGTTGACAAGCTCCTGGTATGATATTTTCTTTCATAAACAGACTAACAATTTGAACACTTCAGTGTTTTTATAACTACAGTAGAACCTGTGGTAGTTGATGCAAAAACACAGTGTTTTCACGATACTCCCGTGTGTGTTGATTACATGCCAGCTTACTTATATACGTATGCAATAACCACTGTCACAGACTTGCCGACACTTATTTATTCTTGGGTTTGTAATGGAATATGACAGGGGTAGTACGGGAAGACTTCAATTTTTCAGAATTTCCAAATCATAATGATAGATTTTACAGTAGTTTGAACAAGAATACTGTTAATTTCAGCAGAAATAGGGTAGATTTCCAAATATTTATGTTATATTTACAGCCGTTTATATAGAAAAAATTGAATCATAATAAAATATTTAACGGTAGATTTCGGTAAAATAAAGGTAGATTTTTTTACGGGAAAAACTGGTAAATTTTTAACGGTAGTTTGTAATTTTTTACAATAAAACGAAAATTTTACGGTAGATTCCCCAAAAAATACAGTAGGTTGGCAGGTATGATATCCTGATTTTGTGTTCAAAACTCCTGACTTGTTTATGAGATGCCCTCGCAAAAAATAAAAGTATATTACAGTTTTTTGATAAAACAAAAGACAGTAGCTAACTACACATACAAAATTCTTAAACCAAAAAAATTATGACCAATTGCAATGCATACAGGAGAGACATTACAGTTTGAACGTGGTGAAAAAAAATATGCAAAAGCATTTTTGTGATAAAACGAAAAAGCTTACTACACATACCGTTTGCTTGTTAAATCTTTTTCATTAAACTATTTGAAACCAGAATTTAATTTAATCTATCATTCTGAGACTGAAATATTCAATACAACATACTGAACGCATAGATATGTTTTCATTGACAGTATTCTTTGACTTCATGTATAACACAAACACGTATCTGTGCTTTATCACAAAGATAATTGATTGTGTGAGGATTAGATGTAGATTTATGGATTTAAGCCGTGGACTGAGTGCAATGTTGAATGACCATCCCTTGAAGATGTTGCTCATCAGCAGATCAGAAATTTGCACAAGATGCGGAGCATTGAGTGTTAATTTTAGGAAGCAACGTCTGAAAGGAATGGTTATTACACAATGCATTGAGTCATGGGCTTAAAATTTTTTCACACATTGCAAAATAGTTTTTACCATGTCTCCTAAAAGATACAAAATCACTAAAATGACATATTTTTTGATTTTCTCCCAATTTTCTCTGATTCTCCTGATTCTCCTAATCAATCCTGATTTTCTCTCCTGATTATCTTTTTACCTGATTTCCTCCTAATTTTCATTGAAACCTCTGATTTCTCCCAATTATCCTAAACAATTCTGATTTTCTCCCATTTTTTATTGTAAATACAGATTTTCTCCCAATTTTTCATAAAAATATCCCGATTTTCACCCCATTTTTTCTTAAAAACATCCAGACCACTCCCGATTTTTAGAACTAAGATATCCTGATTTTGATTTTTTTTACTTGTTTTTCTACAGGTTTGCATATGTACAAGGGTATATCTATTATTTAGACCAGTTTACATCATGTTGGAGTAAGTTGCAATAATGTGTCAGTTAAAAATATATTTTCTAGGATAATCCTGCCTTATTGTACGCAGACCTATCGTTCACACAGAATCAAAATGGTGGAAACCAGCAGTTGGATTTACCTGTCAGACAGGAGGAACCCACAGAGTATGCTGCAATAGACTTTAAACGTACAGAGAAAGGAGCTAATGTGTAAAAGAAAAATAATGTGTTGAAAACATGATTTGTACTTATATAGTATAAATTTTAAATAGTAGCAATAACATTAGAATGATAAAACAATATTAAATTGTTAGAAGCAGTGTCTTCCACTATATTTTTATATATTTACATGAACATTACCTGCAGACATTGAATTTAAATCACTGCAGGCAGGTATCTTAATAATAATATTTTCATTTTATAAAATAAATTTGTAAAATAGTAGATAGTTTATATAAAGAATCAACATATAGAATAATTTTGATCAATTAAATGAAGTAATTGAGGATTATAGTTTAGTGTCAAATTTTTTGGCTTCTTAAGTATAGAAGTACTGTATAACGCTTTGCTTGGATAGCCATTTCATATTAGTTCTATGGAATAGAGTCCTAAAAAATTGGTACTGGCCCATGTGTTAATATGGAATGGGATGAGCTACATTGAAGAATGTACTGAAGACCCATAGAACAATGAAGTGATCACCTTTATTCACAAGATACAGCCCTGCTATTATAACTTTAGTGCCATAATTAATATCATTGATCACTTATATTGCTGTCTAAGATGTTCTACAATTAATTTTAACAATGGTGGATTGGACAAAACAGTTTTTATTTGGACTTGTTTCTTCCAATATTCATTTGAGAGTTTCTTCTTTTTTCATTGTTTCTGTAATGTATTTCTCTCAAATCCAGATGTAAAATGGTTTTAAATGCTTCAATGCACATATCTCTCTCTATTTTTTTTAATTTAGCATATACAAACAGTATGTTTCAATTCAAGTAAAGTACATTTTATACAAATACATGAAAATCTTTGTGTATAATTATTTCTGACATTACAGAGTAATATATTTGTGATTTATATGTATATATGCCTAGAACAGTATTGATGCAAATAATAAATAGAGTGTTAATTGAATTATGCAAGTATACCACTATTTTAGAAAATATTTTGAGTCATGTCATCAAACTTGGTTGGAATACACTGCCCATGCTGCACACCCTGGAAATTTACCTGTAGAAGCCATCTTCAGTTAGGTGTTCAAGGCTTGGGACTTGACGCACATCAGTAAACATAATTAAAAATGCTTCTCAAAACTCATTATTAGAAAGATGTTATTAAAGAGAGAATCAGATATAGCGAGCAGGCTAAACAAAAATTGTTTCAATTATAGAATATTTTTGGGTCATGTCATTCCTTCTCATGTCTATTTTCTAAAAATCAAAAAGTGCTTCCAGGAAAACTAAAGATTTTTACAATAATGTATTATTTTTCTAAGAATGGTTATTATTTGGGAGAATTTAAACATTTTTCACTTTTGATAAATTATAACTTCACCAATTCATAACATATTGCGAATCTTTTTTGAGATATTGCATTTTGTAAAGAATAGATTGGAAGCCCAATTACACGTGTTGCTTGTAATTTTGTCACCCCCTTTAGATCAGATTCTGCCTTTGAATGTACTACTCGGACCAATTTATCAACATTGGCCTACATCCGTACATACTTACTCAAATACCCTTAACCCAATTTTGTTCATATTTTGTACACATGTGCCCTTTGGGAGTATAGGTTCTGCTGGAAAGCCGATTTTCAAAATTGACGCTTGTTAATATTTTTTATATACACCGAAAAAAGTTCGAGAGGGATATAGGAAAGCCATCATCCATCCATTTGTATGTTCATCTGTCTGAGTGATAACTCAAATACTGTTTGACGGATTTGATTCAAATTGTATAGGCTCATGTCTTAAGGGTATAGGACCACTACTCGGAGAGCAATTTTCAATATGGCTGCTCAATTCAAAATGGTCTCCATTTTTTTGTCAAAATGTAATCGCAAGTAGACTCAAATTTTATATGCTGATTACTAGAGACAAAGCAGCTCTGCTCGAGAAGGAATTTTTAAGGTGACAGCCATGGTAAATGGTTAACATAAATACGTAAACAGTATTTTACTTGAACTTTGATATTTGTTAGTTGTTTGCTTAACTCTTTCTAACTTATCTTTCTGCCAAAATTCATGACACTAAAATATTTTCTAAGCTAGAGGGTTACTGATCACTTCATGTAAATGTACACTTGAATATGTTTATAATTTCAAGAATTGTATTAAAGTTTATATTTTTATACATGTTGCCTAGCTTATAGCTTTATAAATGCAAATCTGTTGATTGCATTTGCAGAACAGAATACTTGCATTCACAATGAAAGGTCATGTAACATGACTCATTGCAGTTAAGTAGCTTCATAAATAAGATTAGGTATGCTGCATTGTAAAAAACAAGTAACTGCTAAACCTGCACATTGCTCTAAAACGCAATATTTCGACATAAATTATTTTTATATTTTCATACAGCCAACAAGATTGCTAAAGCTCTAGTGTACAGTTTGACATGATTAAAAACTGTTTTCTATGTAATATCAAAGCACAATCATTTAGTTAGAAAACAAAATAAAATCTTGGGTGGGGTTGGAGACATTGCCGTCTGCACACGCAGAGAGCATTCTACCACAACACCGGCATCAATCTATTGAACCTAAGGAGCAATTTAACGCTACTTATATTGAACGTTCTAGCTTTCATAAAAGCTCAAAATCTTACAGTTGGCCCTTATTATGAACACAATTTGCAAAAAGGAGGAGGGAAAGTAGGGCAACAGATTTGGACAGTCATATGTTGGATTTTGGATTTAAACAGGTGTATATGCAAGGCAAATGCATTACCTCCATGAAAAGCACTCATAGCGATGATAAAATAATTTTGACTTTGAGACAGGGAAGATGCGAACAACCCACCCACTTGTTTTTTCTGAAATGTAGTCCTGATTTTTAACCCCTTCCACTACTGCTTTTTCAATTTCTGTTGCATCAATATATTGCCTTTTGACACACAGGAAGTAGTAGGAATCACTTATTCCTTTAAAAGGTTTAACTGTGTGTTAAAACGCAACATATTGATGCAACAATAATTGAAAAAGCAGGGACGGAAGAGGTGGAAAATCATGACAACATTTCAGAAAAAAACATGTAGGTGGGTTGTTTGCATCTTCCCTGTCTTAAAGTCGAAGTTACTTTATCATCTCTAGAAGTGCTTTTCCTGGAGGGAATACATTGGTTTAGCATATGCACCTGTTTAAATCCTCAGAAAAATATCAAAAATCCAACATATCATGACTGTCCGAAATATGTTGCAATACTTTTCCTCCTGCTTTTTATTGTTGGCCATTTTAGAACTTTCTGTCCCAAAAACCTGTCTGTGAAGTGTTGGCATTCAGAATGAATGTTTTTGTTAACATATTTACTATCAGACTCAGGTCATGGGATCAACTTGTTTGTATAACAGATTTTTTAAAAGATTATGTATACATTAAGTCATTCACCTCATGTCACTGATGTTACTTAAATATGGTGTTACTGTTTAAAGAATACATGTAGCTTCTGTCAGATACCATTTTATTGGTAAATTATAGGAATAGAGAGGAGAGAGAAGTTTCGAAAAAAACATCACAGTTTAAGATATTTTGCTGTCATGTCTCAATGTCATGTCAATTCTAAATAGTCCAATAGTTCAGTTATGACATAGATGTAATTCTCAGTGGTTAGTATCAAGCGAAGGTAATGGCCCTTACCTTCGCATCAAAAACGGCGGGCCTTAATTGTCGAATTTTATATTTTTAGTTTTTGTTGAATTAAACAACTTTATGGTTGACGTTATGCTTTGATACTTGAGCCAAATCAGGCTTATATGACATGCGACTCTGGATTTTGATAATTTGTTCATATATCTTGCGTGAGCGCCACAGTCCAACGATATCTTCCACCACTTTAGGGAAGGTAACTGAAAACGTGTGATATGTTAATGGTTGTGTTAGTTTTCGATATGATGCTGTTACTGGACAACTTAGCTTTCCATTATAAACTCTCATAACGTTACCGCATTACCACATATTAGTTATCTTATCATCTGTAAAACCCAAAGCCCAGTCACCTTCCCTTAAGCGGTTGAAAATATTGTTGAACTGTGGTGCCTATGCATGTTACATGAACAAATGATCATACTCCTGAGTTTCCATGTCATACATGTCGTAGAAGCCTGGTCTAGTCCAAATATCAAAGCATTACTTCAACTATGAATTTGTTTAAAGGGTTCCGATTAGCATCCCGTATAAAAACAATATGGCGGCTCCAGGCGAATCAACTGGATCAGTCCATTTTTAAGAAATAAGGGGAGTTCTGTAAAATCCAGTTTATTGAAATTGTCTTTGAGATAAAGTAATCCGTTTATACTGATTTTGAAAACGTTATCCATGGAGTGATTGCGTTCAAACAGTACATGTACAACAGCCAATATAAATCCTTGTATTAGAACTGCTTTGTTTCATTTGTAGGATATTTCATATGCCAAGCTGTGTGCTATTACGTTATGGGGAAATTTAGATGCCAATTTTTCCTTATTATACACAAATAGAAGATCCTGAAACGTCACCCATAAATTTGGAATTGATTTGTCAAAATAAAAATCACCCTTTTATTAATGTGTGACGATCTATAATATACTTATGCTATATAACAGTTAGAGGTGTTGACACAACGACATCGAACCTGTGAACCCTTGAGTATTATTCCGGGATCGGGCCTTTTATACTAAACGGTGAGCAACACCAGAAACGAGCGTTCGATTTGCTAAACAATATGCGTCACCCTTTAAATCGATAAGAACTAAAACTATTGAAATCGACTCCCCTCCATAAGTTTGGCAACCTTAGCTCCCCCATTGAACTAATTGTGAAAGCCTCTTTACGTTTGAATTTTTATTTACTTAACCGATGAAATAAATTATGATATTGATGGAAACATAACTTGACTTTATATCAAATACCTCCAAATTTTCCCAATTTTTTTCCTCAATTACAATAGGTGGAAAATTGATGATGAATTTGATGAATTTTTGAAAATGTAAACCAATGGGAAATGGTGGGTCCGGGGC